GCTAAATGGAATGGTAGAATGTAAAAGGTTACGAAATGAGTTTCTAAAAGCCACAAGCACATGCTAAATCATAGAGATATGTGTAACCCTTCTGAAAACAAAATTGTCAGTGGTTTAGAGATTATGCATTGTCTACGATGGCCTCTGTCTCCCCCTAGTGTTCAGCAAAAGCTCATTTGGAATACATTCATCAAGTTCTTTTCTTATTAATACATATCTAAATTGTCAGCTATCTTCACAAGGTTAAACATTGAAAACATATATTTTCCATCCAGAAGTATTTTATTCAGTCTAATATTTGCATGTTGCATGGTCATTGAATTTTTCCTTTTTTTTACGAAAATGTTAATACATTTCAGTTTAAAGGTTCTATATTACATAAAATTGATTACTGTGAGTTTTAAATTTTAGGATGTTGCTACCTCATTGTTTCATTCTTACATGTCTGAGTAATCCTTTATTATTAGTCTGTCTAAAATGCTCTGTTCCACCTTGTGATGTCATGAAGTGGTTGTTTTCAACTAACAGTTAACTTCAAATCATCTAAATGATTCTAGTGAAAGTGGATGGAATTTAAAAGCACGATGGAGCATTTCCTGTATTACCACATATTACTGCATGCATAAATATGCAGGTTTGTGTTATACATGTGTAAATGAAACAAACAAAACTCTGGGTATGTTTCTGATGAGGAATCATTATAACAAAAATCTGAAGATAGTGTCATGTGAATCCTTTTAACTTGGCCTGAGGGGTGTGACATCATCAAATGAGATAAAAAGTTAAAAACCAAACACCAAAACAAACCACTCCTCTCACACAGAGACTGCAGGGCTCACAGTGGACACTTGTTGGAGCTGGATTCAGACTGTGAAGTAAGTCCATGACAACTGAGAGCTGCAGCCAGGGTCAGACTGGGAACAAAATTCGGCCCTGGCATTTTTCCTCTGGAACGGCGCACCATTGGACCTACAAACCCCCCGCTCAATCCGAGACGGTGTAAAATGAGGACCGGGGTGCAGGGGAGGGGGGGGGGGGGTGCAGGGGCGCCAATCCGACTGAGGTGGCCTGAGGTGAGTACAGATTAGGAACGACTATAGAGCAACCATAATCTCCAACTGCTGCAGTTGTAAGTGTGACCATTTTCTGTTATAATATATGATCAATTGCTTGGTTTTTAGGAAAAAGGATTCAAAATACTTCACAGTGTTGACAGTTTATGCACGTGCAAACAAACTGGGGTAGAGATTTGTAAAACGACACAGGAGTCTCCTTCTGTAGCAAAAGGTTTACAAAGTGTCCAGGGCTTGGGAAATACAAAAAGGTTTAAGAACATCTCTAGCAATGTTGTTTATTACTAGACATTAAACAATAAAAGAAACCCGAGTGGATTTTATATATATGTATATATATATATATGTATGTATGTATGTATGTATGTGTATACATGTGTATATATATATATATATATATATATATATATATATATATATATATATATATATATATATATATATATATATATATATATATTAGGGCTGGGCACGTTAACGCGTTAACTTCGCGTTAACTAATTAAGCCATTAACGCCGACAATTATTTTAACGCCGTTAACGCAGTTTTTATTACTTATTTTATTGTAAACGTCTGTTTCTCACTGGCTTTTATTTTGAAAAAGTCCACCGCGAGCGTTTGTTTAAGTTTGACGTCTTTTCTTTAAACTTTTTTCACTTTTTTCTGACCACGTGAGATGCAACGTGCCCGAGCCTCCGCGAGCCGCGGGCCCGGCTGCGGGTTCGGCCGCAGGCTCCGACTCCCGTCGCGGCTCCGGCCGCGAGTTCGGTCGCGGGCTCTGGTCGCGGGTTCAGCCGCGGGCACCGGCTCTGAGCTGAGCTTATTTCTTTAGTTCAGTGCTGGAGTAACTGATTTACCCAGATACCATTGGAAGAAAAAATGTGATTGGTCCATTTCCTTTCCATTATATTAACCCTTTGTTTCCTAAGAAATATCAGTCCAAGTTTATAACACTGATCTAGAAATTATTACTAGTGTAGTGTTCATTACTCACAGCATAAAAAATATTCAATAAATATATTAGTAGTACAAACGTCCATTCCAGACGTTCAGAAGCCCCTTATGATGAGTGCAACACAGAGGCCAGTTACGTCGCCCGGATTGGCGTCACCGGGGCCTCACCCTGGAGCCAGGCCTGGGGTGGGTGCTCGTCAGCGAGCGCCTGGTGGCCGGGCTTTCCCCCACGGGGCCCGGCCGGGCTTAGCCCGAAGGAGCGACGTGGGGCCGTCCTCACGTGGGCCCACCACCCGCGGGAGGAGCCATATGGGGCCGGTGCAGAGAGATCTGGGCGGCAGTCGACGGCGGGGGCCTCGACGACCGGATCTCCGGACATGGAGACTAGCTCTGGGGACATGGAATGTCACCTCGCTGGGGGGGAAGGAGCCTGAGCTTGTGCGGGAGGTTGAGCGTTACCGACTAGATATAGTCGGCCTCACCTCCACGCACAGTTTGGGCTCTGGAACCCAACTCCTTGAGAGGGGCTGGACTCTCCATTCCTCTGGCGTTGGCCGCGGGGAGCGGCGGCGGGCTGGTGTGGGCTCATTGCCCCACAGCTCAGTCGCTGTGTGTTGGAGTTCACCCCGGTGAACGAGGGTCGCGTCCCTGCGCCTTCGGGTCGGGGACAGGTCTCTCACTGTGGTGTCGGCCTACGGGCCGAACAGCAGTGCTGAGTACCCGGCCTTCTTGGAGTCCTTGGGAGGGGTACTAGACAGTGCACCGACCGGGGACTCCGTTGTTCTCCTGGGGGACTTCAACGCCCACGTGGGCAACAACAGTGACACTTGGAGAGGGGTGATTGGGAGGAACGGCCTCCCCGATCTGAACCCGAGTGGTGTTTTGTTATTGGACTTCTGTGCTAGTCACAGTTTGTCCATAACAAACACCATGTTCGAGCACAAGGGTGTCCATAAGTGCACGTGGCACCAGGACACCCTAGGCCGGAGGTCGATGATCGACTTTGTAGTCGTGTCATCTGATCTCCGCGTGTCTTGGACAGTGAAGAGAGGGGCTGAGCTGTCAACTGATCACCACCTGGTCGTGAGTTGGGTTCGCTGGCGGAGGAGGAAGCCGGAAAGACCTGGCAGGCCCAAGCGTGTAGTGAGGGTCTGTTGGGAACGTCTGGCGGAGCCCTCTGTCAGAGGGACCTTCAACTCGCACCTCCGGGAGGACTTCTCCCGGATTCCGGGGGAGGCTGGAGATATGGAGTCCGAGTGGGCTTCATTCTCGGCCTCTATTGTCAATGCAGCTGCTCGGAGCTGTGGGCGTAAGGTCTGTGGTGCCTGTCGCGGCGGCAATCCCCAGAACCCGGTGGTGGACACCGGAAGTAAGGGATGCCGTCAAGCTGAAGAAGGAGTCCTATCGGGCCTTGCTGGCTCGGGGGACTCCTGAAGCAGCTGACGGGTACCGGCGGGCCAAGCGTGCTGCAGCCCGTGCGGTTGCGGAGGCAAAAATTTGGAGCTGGGAGGAGTTCGGGGAGGCCATGGAGGAGGACTATCGGACGGCCTCAAAGAGATTCTGGCAAACCGTCCGGCGCCTCAGGAGGGGGAAGCAGTTCTTCGCCAACACTGTTTACAGTGCGGGGGGAGAGCTGCTGACCTCGACTGGGGACGTTGTCCGGCGGTGGAAGGAATACTTCCACCGCCGGACATATATATATATATATATATATATATATATATATATATATATATATATATATATATATATATATATATCACTGTCATAGTTGAAATAACTCTTTAACATACTGTATCTGGATTTTCTTCACTTTACTCACAACAACACCAACACTGCATTTAACACTTTTGAGTTTGCTGTGTACAAAAAGGTTTAGAAACATCTCTCACAATGTTGTTTATTACTGAAGACCTCAATTTCATTATATTTCAGTTTAGACATCAAACAATAAAAGAAACCCAGGGGAGGGGTAGATGCATTTTTATTACTCTACTGCAGATAAATACAGACCGCACTGGTATACATATATACAAAGGGTCACACATCTATTGTAGTGACTGAATTAGTAGAGGCATGCAACTTTACATAAGCATAATTTTTTACACTGTGGACGCTATTACAGATCTACAAAAAGAATAAAGAATCTGTTGTGTTAAACACATTAAATGTATTATAATCTAATGTTTGTATGTAATGTATTGTCTCTATTCCTTTCCTAAAATTCAGTGCAATACCTGCTAAATAAGAAACCATCCCACAAAGGACACAAACCAAATAAAACTAATTATTTGTTCTGTTGTCTTTCTCTGACTATTAGGATTGTGACAGTGAACATATTTTACAGAGCTTTCTCCTTCCTAAACATGACCAATCATGTAACCTGGGATCCAGACTGGTTCTCCCTGTAGCTCCAGGACAAATTTGAACATAGCTAAACGAACAAAAATTTACTTGAATGCATTTTAAACTGCGTGTTTTAAGCAGGCAATGTTGATCACGATCTGGTCACTTCACGTGAAAATAAAACGATAAAAGGATGAGTCCATGAGGAACCATCCAGCGATGAACAATCATCAACCAGAAACCATGAAATGTCATAGTGTGGCAGTTGTTTTAGTATCAATAGTATCTGTAGTGCCAGAAGAGAATTCTTGTAATGTTATTAGTATAAGCACTAAGAGCTGATACTATTTTGCATATATGATATAGTGGCACCTGGAGCAAAAGCAAAGATAGCTGTACATTAATCTCTGACCTCTGACCTTTGATGATCCTTCTTTTAGGAGGGACAAACAGACATCACGAAAACAACAAGGAAACTACTAAAACTCAAATAAAATGTTATTGTACGTGGTTAAGGCCTGTCACTGCGATAAGGTTTTCTATGGTAATCTGCCGGGACTCTGCTTTGGACTTTGTGCTCCGTGTCACAGTAAATTTGCAGTGTGACTGACAAGGCTCTTCAGTGTTTTACTGACAACTGCTACGTTTGGTTCTCCTTTGGTTCTTCTGTTTGGTTCTTCTCTTAGATTCTTCTGTTTGGTTGTCTTGCTAGTTTCCCTGAATTGTTTTGGATCATCTGGATGAGCCACAATGATCAGCCGAAACTTCAAGAATGTGCTGGTGGTGTCCATCGGCTTTTTGTCCCTGTTCACGGCGTATGGTGGACTACAGAGTTTACAGGTAAAACACACCTCTGCATGGTCATTGCAAGATACCTCCAGTCTTATTGTTGACATTTCTATGCGGTTTGCTCTATCTACAATCTGCATTTTTTTATTTTTTTTGAATGAGAATAGGCAGACTAGAAGGCAATATCACCACTGATGTTTTGAGTGTTCATATGTCCAGGTCCTGTACTGATGCTAAATAACTTCTCCTGCTTTAGACATCCAGAGTCTCCTGCCTCTCTTTATGACTCTAGGCTACTAAGGACAACAACTTTTCCACCCAACAGTATAGTGGGAGTCATTAAATAACAAACTTACTGGAAAATCTGAGACAGAGACCAATGCTATCTCTTCCTCTGGATCTTCTTTTATTAATCGGCACAAATTTCTGATATATGTTAAAATGTTTTTTCCTGATCATAAACATACCTGGAGTTGTGTTTTGTTTCGTTCACAAAACAAAGGGAAAATATTCCACCTTGTGATGTCATGTGGTAATAAAAGAAGTGCTCCAATGTGTTTTTTAAACTCCATACAACTTCACTAGAATCATTTGGATAATTTCAGCCCTGGAATTGCCGATCTTTCTGGACTTCTAAAGATAAAAGGAGCTGTTAACATGAAAATTAACACTTCGTGGCATCTCGGGGTGGAGGAGAGCATTTTGAGCTTTGGACATGCACAGACTAATAATAAAGGGTTACTCAGACATGTGAATGAAACAAAACACAACTCCAGGTATGTTTTTGAGGATGTAACAACATTCCAATATGGCTTAAAGCTTACAATGATGCATAATATAGGAATTTTAACTATCCTCTACTACTGCTTCTAAAAACTAAGGCCTGACATCTTTACTAAACATATTTTTTCATCACCTTTCTAAGAACCAAAACCTAGAAGTCATCTAACCACCCACCAATTAAAGTGTCACTAAAAACTCAACGAAGACAGGTACAGACTGGTGGAATATAAACAAAGCCTATTTTCTTTGCAGAGCAGTCTGAATGCCGAGCAGGGCATGGGCGTGGCCTCTCTGAGTGTCATCTACGCCTCCATCATCGTGTCATCCATGTTCCTGCCGCCCATCATGATCAAGAACCTGGGCTGCAAGTGGACCATCGTGGTGGGCATGGGCTGCTACGTCTCCTACTCTTTAGGCAACCTCTACCCCGGATGGTACAGGCTTCACTACATTACGTACTACATAATCACACAGGCACGAGGCTCAAATGTTGACTTATAATGTTGTTTCCTCATCACAAACAGACCTGGAGTTGTGTTTTGTTTCATGCACACATGTTTAGACAGAAAATGATGGTAGGCAATTTCAGCCCTGGAACTGACAATCTCTACTGAATTAAACGTTAAAGGTAGTTGTTAACTTGAAAACGACTGATCCATGACATCACAAGGAGATGTTGGAGATGTAGACAGACTAATAATGCAGGATTACTCAAACATGTGTGAATGAAACAAAACACAACTTTATGTTTTAGATGAGGTAACAACATTCTAACATGGTTTAAAGCTCATAAGAATCCATTTTATTATTAACTTATTTAGTATGTATGTCCGCTGGAAATCACAATATTGATCTAGACAGAAATAGAAGTAGGTTAATTTACTTCCTGTTTCAAAGGGCAGATCTGATATGTGGGCTGTGTGACATTTTTTAATCATAAATGACTCATGACTCATTATTTCAGTGAAGAACAGGACAGTGGGAGGAGACAGTGGGTAAATAAAAACATATGGTACACTGACAATAAAGCACAAAGTAAGCTAATAACAAGCTCATTAAAGTCGATTTTACATAAAACTGTAGACCAAAATGTGCTAGTGCAATGCTTAAAAACTAATGTAGTAAGAGGCAGTACAAAAGAATTAGGTAGTAAGTTCTATACTCTTGTCCATGAACTAAATTTTAATGTGTTAAGAGTAACACTCACTGCCTGCCAAACACTGACCAGCTGTTATCGCCGCAAGGTTTCCCTGGTCAGAGCTGGCAAGGCCTGAGGGTCTGGGCTATGGGGGACCATCTCCTTGGTCTCCTCCACTGCTCTGGTGCCCAAGAGGTCACATGTAAAACTTAGAGTTCAAATGTGAATGGTAAAATTGCCTTCCTATGGGATGCCAGGGAAAAAGGGATAGTTTAAGGGAAAAGTAAGAATAATGCTATTGCTGATCATTTAAAAAAGCACTTGAATTAAACTGAACTGAATTAAATTAACAAATTTTAATTAGCAAAAAGCAGTAGAGTTTGATCTACATTTGCTCTGAGCAGGTGGATTGTGGTTTGAAACAGTATTGTTGTTTGTCCCAAAGGTATACCCTCATCCCCACTTCTGTGATTCTGGGTTTGGGTGGCTCCCCCTTGTGGTCAGCCAAGTGTACATACCTGACCATCGCGGGAAACACCCAGGCAGCCAAAGAGGGCAAAAAGGGCTCAGACGTCATAAACATGTACTTTGGGATCTTCTTCTTCATCTTTCAGTCGTCTGCTGTGTGGGGAAACCTCATGTCTTCACTCATCTTTGGACAGGACACAAACATAGGTAACATGAATCTACTGGTCATTTTGTAGTTTAAACGTGAATTTAACTTTTTGATTCAAGTGTTTTACTACCAAAGAATGTAGCTGGCCTGTAATTTGGCCTGGATATAGATATGTTTAATGTCACACTGTGGAAAATTGCAGGTAAAATGGTAACAAATTATAAAGTAGATGGCCTCATCTCCTTCAGAAATGGCACATAGAGCACCTACAATGGTTTCCACACTTGACACAGCTGATATTTATTCATGTGTGTAGTGCCCACCAGTAGTGCCCAGAGTCACAGTGTGTCACCAGGAACTCTCTAAAGAAGGGCAGTTAACTGGAACTGGCTGTAACAGATTCATTGAAAAACAAAGATTAACTCTTTACTACCTTCAGGGGTGTGAGTTTGTGATAAAAGTAATAATCTCAATCATACCGCACGGAAACAAACCGATGTTTTTTTTTCTTATTCTTCTTATCTTTTATCTTATCTTTTCATTTAGTTTATTATTTTTAAAATGATCTTGTGCCAGTTTGTTTGTTTAATATGGAGATTCTGACAGTTTTTCTCATGGAGAAAACAGCTCATTCTGATTCTTTTCTTCATGTAGTAACTGGTAGTTAATATAGATATTAATATACAGTATACAGTGTGAATAGAAAATGTATTGTGTGTGTTCTAGCGGACATACCCGAGGAGCAGTTACAGACGTGTGGGGCAGCAGACTGTGGCCTGAACATCAGCTCCAACAGCACCACCATAAGGCCAGAGCAGAAGTTGGTGTGGACCCTGGTGGGAGCGTACATAGGTAAAAACAGCAGAGAAAACACACGATCAATAGCACTGTGCCAGTCACAAAGTATCACTACAGAGATAAAGGCTGAGGTCTGCTGCAATGAGTTTGGTTGAGAATCAGACTCTAATTTCAGTGCTGTAAAGGTGTTACCAGCCCTTTTTTATGGTAACATTATTTTTTCCTCACCGTGGTCAGATATGACGGAGTCTATGGGTCATAAAAAATATGTTTCAGCTCTGTGTATTGCACTAAAGTGTACACATTTGAAGACAGAAACAGGACCGTGTAGAGGCAATAGGGAGGAGCCTGATCACTCCACAGGGAGAAATGTAGCTGCTTCTGTGCTTGTGATCTGTCTAATAACTTGCAAACATAGGACATGTAAAATGTCATCTTTATGGAAATAATATAAGCTTTTCACTCATCCAAATGCCAGTCTGTTGCACTCTGCATTTGCTTTGATTGCTGTTTGACTGCCACCTCTCCACTCGTACTCATCTGTCACAAACTGTTGGATGAAGTAGGCCACATTTCTCCCCGTGGAGTGACCAGTCTCCAGGGGCAAAGCCTGCAGAACCTGGTGCTCCCTGAGCCTTGTTGGAGAGGGCACAGGCTGTGTTCCATGCCGGAAACAGGTGGAGGAGTCTCAGAGCGATCTTTACCCATACTCCACTCCCTGATCTTAGTTTCTCTACTCGTCTAAACATGGGCACTTGGCATAATCCCTGTTCAAAGATGTGCTCATAGTGGATCACTTCAGCCAGATTCAGATTATAATGTATCCTAAAAAGCCCTATTGCCACTGCACTGTCCTGTTTCTGTCTCTAAATGAGTACAGTTTAGTCCAATACACAGAGATGAAATTGGTTTCATCCCAAATTATTTCTGTGGAATTGACCACAACATACTGCCCTGGCTGTTCCCCAGAACAGTCTCTGCGCTGCGTTCACTCTGTGATCTGTGGATGTTCCGGACAGACTGTAAACATGAGCTGTCACTGCCCGGTTTGCACGGCTCCTCAAACCTGAAAACAAACAAGGGTAGAAAGCACAAAGTCAAGGGAAAGGATTAATGGTGAAAATCGCCTTGAGTCTCCTTCACCTGTCTTTGACTGTGGATTGGAGCATAGTGTCTTGCCCAGGAGCACTCAGCTGCACGCAGAGGCGCATGGGGGTCACTCCCGGGAAATAATTCGCCAGTTGTTAAAAGACCAGCAATATAAAGTTCTACATCCAGCATCGATATGTTTTTATTTAAGCTTTCAGATCAAATACTGTGAGCACCATTCTTTTGTGGTGGTGGTGAATTGCTCTTCTGTCTTTTGACATTGATCAGCACATAAATCTTGATAAAATTATTCCCTTACTTTGACTATGACTTTATTCCCCTATAATTACAACTATATTCTCATAAAATTGTGACCTTATTCTTGTAAATTATCTTTTCTGCTTCAACTTTATTCTCGTAAAATTTCTACTTTAACGTCGAAATGTTCCAACCTTATTTTTGTAGCACCTGCATAATTATTATTATAATTTTTTTAAAATAAGACAGTTATACTCCTTCATAATACAAAAACACAAAAACAAGAAAAAGAAATATGGTCTTGATTGACTTTGTCCTTTAAGATAAGACTCACTTTATGATCCTGGACCAAGTAACTGAATACATTTAAAGAGTCATTACCTATTATAAAGTTATAACAAACTCATGCAGCAGTGTCATCAACAGCAAACACCCAAAAGCTACATCACAGACTGTATACTGCAGTTTATCATCTAGTTTTGACTCATCATAAAACACTTTATCAACTTTTACCCAGGTTACAAACAGTTTATGTGTGATTTGGAAAGGATGAAAAACACACTGGTGCTGGTGGTAAAGATCATTTCAAAAAAGAGCTTCACCCCCACATTCATCATAGAGGCCTAGAAATGAAGCGACAACCAGTGGTGAGAGCAGCCTACTCACTTTGGCTACTCACTTCATTTGTATTTGAGTCATTTTACCAATTCCCCTTTAGGAAAGTACCCCAATTCCCTCACACTGTCAGGTTTTTACCATTGTGTCGTAGCCTGCTAGCTACCAAATAGTCCACCAGATTTAGCATTTTTTTACAGGCTAAATAAAATGTGACTCTTAATTTGTCTACTCCCCTAAATAGGCTACGTTTTACACCCTACTTTTAAATTTCTACTTATGTAAGCCTAATATTATTTTGAAGTAACAGCACTCGTTCGTAAGTAGATTTTCTGGGTAGTTCCCGCCGTTTCCAACATATTGCCGCTGTTTTTAGGCGTGGGTGTGCTGGCCATGTTGATCATCTCTATCTTCCTGGACAACATCGACCAACAGCAGACGACTGAGTTCCGGGAGCAGCGGGAGCCTTTCTGCCACACCTTCTTGGCCACGTTCAGACTGCTCAAAGACTGGAGGCTCCTCACGCTCATCCCCCTCACCATGTACAGTGGCTTTGAGCAGAGCTTCCTGTCTGGAGAGTACACCAAGGTCAGAGGTCACTATACGGTATAAGCCCACCGCATGTGTGGTACAGAGGGCTGAAGAGTCAACAGAAATCAGTCCATTAAATACTAGGTCACCTAAAGGTGCATTGTGTAACTTTTCTGGTGGAGGGTTCGCTTTTCTAGCTGAAGATGTTATTGCTTTGTCTGAAATGTTTTAATGGCATTAAATCTTTTGAGAGGCACGGTCAGAATGTCTGGTTTTTGGAGCAATAAAACCACCTGTAATTCAATACACGCAAGGTAATCTGTTTAATGTCATATTATGGAACATTTAAAGCAAAGCAATGACACATCCACAGAAACAAGACGGTTCTGGACCCCCAATCCAAAAGTTCAAGTGAGACAAAACACCTAATACCACACTTCAAACTCAACCCCTGCAGACAGGTGTTTGTATCAGAAACTCCTGGACTACTGGAAATTGCAGAGGCCACTGAAGACACAAGAAACTGAAATTTAGGCATTTTTGACCACAAAGCTGCAAATCCAGTTGATGTTGCCAAAAAATGTCAGGGAACAGTAGATTATGTCATTAAAACACCATATACACAGTTTCATCAAGTAGTTCCACTTTAAATTGTAATGCACTGACAATCTTAACAACACAAAAAATGATATTTCAGGTAACATTTTGTGGCGCTGATCAGTTTAAGTCAATCTAATGCATACTGTTGTTTTGTCCATAGGCAAGACACTTTGTCTAATATGAATGTTGTTACGATGTAGTGTGTGAGTGTGTCTTGAAAGGCTCTATATAAGTCCAAGTATAAAATGAAAGTCAAAATACTAAAAGTAGAACAAAAAGGGAATGTACAAGTAGGTCTATCACGATAATTACTATATCAACTTATTATTCAATTTGTGTTTGATGGAACAATCATTTTCTGGGGTCAATATTTATTTGTTAAGTACTTTTTTATTTGTACTAGTGAGGATTTTTTTTTTTTTGCAATATGCTAATTGAGCTGTAGAAGGTTGAATTATGAACTTAAATTATACAGTCTAAAATGTTGCATTCTGCTAATTGTTTATTGCAGCTAATGTTTTGTTAACAATATTGTACATTTAGAATGGTTTTGTGGATAATTCTACTTTATGGTTTGGTTTAAAAATGGCCAACAGCAAGTTTTAGTGGTAATTTGACATTTTTCATGTACCAAAACACATGTACTTAACAGTTGACCTGATGTATCGTCTATCTCTTCCAGAACTATGTCACATGTGCCCTGGGGATACACTTTGTAGGTTTTGTGATGATGTCTTTTGGAGCGGCCAACTCTCTCTCGTCGTTCCTGTTTGGACGCCTGGCTCGGTACACTGGCCGCGCTGCTCTGTTCTTCCTCGGTATGTCACATAAAATACACCATTCAGAACACAATATTAGAACTGCTATTACAGTGTCCCAGACCTCTCCAGTGCTTGGAGAAATCAGCCTGGGTTGGCGTACTTTTATTCACTGTAGATTTGCTGTATTTTAGTGGGTTAGTTTGTTGATCGGGACAAGATCACAATAAGATTAACTTTATGATCCTGGACCATTTAAGAGGACACATTTATAGAGTCGTCTAATTACCTATTATAAAGTTATAACCTAGGATCATGAGATTTGGGTCATGACCGAAAAGACAAGATACAAGCGGTCGAAATGAGTTTCCTCCACAAACTGGCTGGGCGCTCCCTTAGAGATAGGATGAGGAACTCGGCCACACAGGAGGAGCTCGGAGTAGAACCACTGCTCCTCCACGTCGAGAGGAGCCAACTGAGGTGGCTCGGGCATCTGTCCCGGATGCCTCCTGGGCGCCTCCCCTGGGAGGTTCTGGGCATGTCTCACCTGAAGGAGGCTCCGGGGAAGACCCAGGAAACGCTGGAGGGACTATGTCTCTTGGCAAGACAAGAGCAAGAATCACACCTACGAACTTATAAGCCACTGGCATCCTGAGCTGACCTGTTTCATAATCTGTGTTTTAGACAACAGTGAAATTTACAGTTGTATTCTATTGTTCCAGCCGCTCTGATAAACTTGGGGTCTATCATTGCTCTGTTGCTGTGGAGACCCGACCCGGACCAGCTGCCTGTGTTTTTTGTCTTTCCGATCTTATGGGGAGTAGCTGATGCAGTCTGGCAAACACAAACCAATGGTAGGATCTTTTAAGATACTGTAGTACAAATACACATGGACAGCAAATATTTTCCATATTTAGTATCCACTTGACTAACTTTGTTCTAACTGTACTTTGACTTGAGTAATATTATTTTGAAGTTTCACTCTATGTGTTTCAGAATGATGAAAAATAGGGCAGTTGCCGTAGCAATTAACAATTTAAAACAAAATCTTACAACTTTTGAATGGGGAAAAAGTCCTCAATTTATTGCATATAACCCAATGAACCCAACACATACTTAATACTTATTAAAACTGTAGGCAACTATAGATGCCTATAAATACTGGCAGAAATGTATTGCAGTTTTTTTCTGAATAATGCTACTGCAAACATGTATGAATGAATCGAAACAAAACTTTGAGTAAGTGAATGATGATGACAACAGTAAATTTTGTGTAATATAGCACGTTTAAGTTCATTTATAATACATCCCTTTTCATTTGTGTACATTTCAGCCCTGTATGGCGTCCTGTTCCCTCGAGACAAAGAGGCGGCGTTTGCCAACTACAGGATGTGGGAGTCCCTGGGCTTCGTCATCGCCTTCGCCTACAGCACCTTCTTGTGTCTGGAGTATAAACTGTACATTGTGCTGGCTGTGCTGGTGCTGAGCATGATCACATACCCCATAGTGGAGTGGCACGAGTACAAGAACCCCACGCCCCCCATAGAACAGGGCCACTCCTCTGAGCAAAAGAAAGTCTTAGAGAAGAGCGAGAAGGATCTGATAGCACAGACGCAGCTATAGAGATGAGGAAGTTCACACAGGGCTGTTCTTTAGATCAACTATCACATCAAACACTGTACACATAAGCGGTGTTAGATTGGATTAGATGATTTTCTTTTTTTTTATTTTAAGTTGTCTTTTTATATACTGGTACAAATAAAAAGATTAATTTATTCAAATAATACATCGATTAAATTTGTGCCAATTTAAGGTACACATGACAGGTTTTAGCGATTTTCTAATTTCTACTCTAAATACTTTTATCTTTTTTTATTTTTTGGAGGGGAGTAGAGTTTTATTTTAGAGAGTCCCATATCGTTCACACTAGGAGAATTCCATCCAAACTATTAGTCAACTACTATTTACACAAGAAACATACATTTCTGATACTTTAAACTTTATTCCAACAAAATACTGACAGAAGACTGGCTGTAGACCTGTTAGATTAAAAATCCCTGGGTCATTATTAGCAATAACTGTATCTTAATCTTAATTCAAAAGGATCTCTCAGCTTGAGTATATAGAATTACAGAATATATATATGATGATTGCACTCATCAGCCTCTAAATGTTATTTGTTTTATTTGCACCTTATTATTTGCAACACTTTGAGTATTAGCGAGACATCACACGTTAAATATGAGCAAGAAGCAAATTATGAATGAAAATTAACTGGATTTTTATTATGCAGCTCTTTAAAGTCTTGTTTGTGAAATGTTTTTGTTTACTTAAAATTTTATTTTAGTATTTCACAGCATCACACTTTGCAATTTCAGTGTACTTCTCAGTAGATTAGATTTATTACTGAACAAAATACAATGAAACTTGGATGTAGCAAACCCGCCACAGTAAAATCAAGTATAGAAATCTGATGCACTTTGTAGGTGGGTGATCATTGTCTTCTGGTTTAGGATATTATTAAGTCTTCTTATGTGGATGTTTTTTTCTGTAATCGATTAAATGCAAGTTTGTTTTGTTTATTTGATTTACTTGTACTCTGTGCATTTTAAACCTCAAGATTGATTTCTGCATCAAATCTAGTACAGATATTATCATTATGTTCTAAAACACGGGTCTCCGACCTGTAGACCGGGAGCTACCAGGAGCTCTCCACCCTCTTCCAAGTAACTCGCCAAGGGATTTATTATATGTATTGTTCTTAATAACTCAAATCTGATTAATTACCTTTGGAAATGCTTTTCATTTTGTAAAGGAAGGAGGAAAAAGGTTGCAGGGGTTAGTGATACACAGAACAGGATATTACCACAAAGTACCTTTTTCCATTGGAACAAACAGGCCAGTGTAAAAAGTACAGGAGACGGCTGCATTTCAAATGGTGCTTTTATTGCAATGTGTTGCATTCCCACATTCATAGATGTTATAGATTTGTTAGTCAAAGCATCATTTCCTCAACGTTGGCATCCTCACCTTGGAAATAAAAAGCAGAGGGATCAAATGCACGAGGTGTTTGTGTTGAGTGTAGTAGAGAAGTGTGTGTAAACTTGAGCAGCCACGAAACACATGAATGAACAAAATTTAGACTTCCAGTAGATGCAAATCAAAGTTTGTACTTGTCAAACAAAAGAGTTTGTTTGTCGATCAACTCCCTGCAGGGAGGAACCCAGCCTGAGACTGATTGTCTACAACATTCCAAAGAAAAGGTAGATTCATTTCACGTCACACGCCTGAACAGGGGAATCAGACAGAAGAAAATAGAACATGCAGAAATCTCCCAGATGAACATTGTCACTCATTGTCTGTAATAGCTGCTCCGATGCCTCTTAAAAAACAAACTCCACATGAGTGTAATATACAAAACCGGACAAATGCGTAAAATGTATAATATATATAATATATATTTATATTAATTTGTACAGGGGAGAAAGTGGAACCTTGGTCTTCCTTTATATCTCCAGATAAAAACATTGCCTCAAAAACCAAGTGGGAGCTCACACTGAGCCTTTAAAATCTCTGATCCACAACCAACGTCCATCCATAAGGCAGCACTTCAGACACGAGTGTGAGAGGACGAGGTGGTGGCACACGCAAACATGCACACACAACAACAGTTACTTTTCTCCAAATAAAAAGCCAAAAGTGTCTTTGATTCATGAAAATGATGTACATTTTTTGCAGCAATCTTCCCTGACACCTTCACCAGACACTGGTCTGGTATTTGCAATCATTTATGTTGCGTTTGTATTGAACAGAATATCTGCTGATGCGTTTAAGGTCAGTGGGAAACTTGCAGTATATGCTACATTTCATTTACAATTTGTTCTGCTGATTTTCTATTAGGCTTTAATAGTGATGTTATTGTAAATAGCTTTTCCTGTACTGGATGACGACAATAACAGAGTCTGTAGTGATGGGGGTTGTATTTACAAACTGCTGAGTAGAGGACGTGTCTTCCTAACAGAGGTGAGACAGACCGCGACAGAGACATGCGTGAGTCAGTGCACATGGTGAGCTGAAAGCAGAGGTTACAGAGGAGTTACACAATCAGACTTTTGAGTTGAAAAAGCCAGAGTCTACTGCATGTAGAGGAAAAAGCACTGCTAAAGTGAGGAGTTATGAGCAGGAATGTACGAGCAGAGAGGTTCAACAGTTCAACAGTAGCATAGTATTCACACACTGAGGACGGGACCACAGCATGTACACAAGTGGACAAAGGGACGGACACAGTGACTTTCTAGTTAGCTTGGCTTCCACTTGAGTAAATATTTAATCTATTATAATGATCTAGACATTTTTCCTTTTTTTATTTAAGATTCATATTTTTTGTATCATGAATTAGGAAGCATTCGAGCATGAAATTGCCCCATTGAAGGACAAACAAAATATTTGGTTAGAAAAGTGCAAGCTAACAGTGCGCTAATCTACAAACTCAAGATAAAAATTACAAAGTTCTTTTCTATTTGACAAGACTGCATCATTCTTATAAGTGGCTTCTCTGCCTGGTGGACAGTGAAGGTATTACGCTCTTTGGGACTTGGTATCTACTGCTGCTGATCCCTTTGTCCAGGTTTACACACAGACGAGCCACACTGAGGATGGACCAGTAAAGAGCGACAGAAACTGTCAGAAAGAGTTCAATTCTTTTGTATATGGTCTAAATCTGGGCCAGTCCAGTTCCTGTCTATAACTCTAGTGTACATTCAGGGTAATGATGAGTTACTAATTATTTCTCTAATAATCTGATTTGCTGATGGCCATTTTCTCTCTGGGTAAATCTAAGATAAAGTGCAAAATTAGATTGTATTTGCAAATTCCTGGAATAATTTGATTCATCTTGAGTAAAAAAGTCATTTAAAATACAATTATTTTTTATATTTATAAATGTGAAAAAATGCTTATTTAAAAAAACCCTGGTTTAACAAGGTCATTGCAGAAAGTATATACAAGAGGCACCTTAAGTTTGGTAGCAAGTAATGGAGAGTGTTGTGGTTAAAGGCTGTTACCGGGTTTGTAGAGGGTGATCTGTACAAAAGGAAATGCTGTTCAGTTTAAGGTGCATAGCTAACGGTTGGTTTTTCTTACTGTAAACGAGAGATAGCACTTTAGGCGCTAAAGACCTCTTGGCAACGTGGAGACCTGTGAGTACTACAAAAACTATGAGTACTATGAGAAGTATGGTAGATGACAGAGACGAAGAACGCAGAGGACGGAGGAGACCTACATGCAAAGTGAAGACTAAAGCAGAGGCGCTACATTATGTCCTGTCCAGGGATGAGGAGTTTGCATATGATACCATCTGAAATCTCAAAGCTTTGGTCATTTACTATTGACAAATGCAAAAAGGCTACATGAGTCAGCCAGTCCCACACAAACTACATTTAACCTTCTCCCACTCGACACCTGAGGCAATGCTTCTCCCCAAAACCAAGGCTCCACTCTCCCATGTCTGCCTTAAACGTTTGACAACAGAAAATTAAATAATATGGCCTTTTTTAAATTAACCCGTACAAAAAGCCAGTCCACACTGCTTCTTTCTCAGTAAAATCACATTCAGCAGTCGCTAAACCATTCTCTGGCATAGTTTTCTGAACAGCCACAGGTACTGTGCAGGGTCCATAGAGTCGAAGAAGAACAGATAACCAAAGTGGGACATTGTCCACGTTTCCATCTTAGAGAACACCAGATATACAGTATTAATCACTTACACACGCACACGCCCACTGATAGTCATATACATACATACATCTGCAGAAAAATAAAAAAGTAGAAAATCAAAACATCCAAATAAAAACATGACGGAGGCGAGTAGTTATTTACCACAAACTCGGAGCACTAGTTTTTTTGTTGATTCTGAACAAATACATATTCACATTTCTCTGTTATATACATGTTTACATTTTGAAAGTTATAAAAGAAGCGAACCTTGTACCTGTTCGTCATAGTGAGGAGGATGGGGGGAGGGGGTGTTCCTGTCAATGGCTGTTGCATAAAAATAAACTAAAGTCTCAGTATGCAGCGCTTGTATTTGGCATGTTGTAGCGGGTGACACTGAGGGTTGAGAGAAAACCTGTTCCATAGGAATGACAGTCCCGAACAGAGGGGAGGGGTCAAGGGTCAGGGGTAAGGTGGGCGACAAGGCTGACACGGACAAAAATCCTTCGAAAAATACTTCTGACCACTTTGTGTATAAGTGTGGACCAAACAGTGACACAGGACCATCTGCCAGTCTCCACAAAATGTCCAGTACATGATATGTGGGATATTCTCTACGGACTTTGCTCCAGGTTTCTTCTTGTGTATAACTTGTATTTATGCCGACAAAGTGGAATACAAACTGTCTTTCTTAGTTTCATGTTGAATGCAATGGTGAACACCCATTTTGAGGTAGAGGGAAGCTTTATATCTGGGTGTCACCGCTGCACCCACATTCAACTCTATCTAAGTGCTTGGCAGTCAGCTCTTTCGGCTGCGAGAAGTGCTTTCCATAAAAAAACAAACAAAACAACAACAACAACGGGGTGATCAAAAGGTGCTCCAAAACCTGCGGAAAATCCCTCCGCAGGTGACTCTCCGCTTTGGGTGCGCTACGTCCAACCGCGTGCTGGACTCCTGCGACACTGTTTGGGGTTTGAGTTTGACAGAACTGGCATCTGGCAGAAAACACAAAGTGGTTGTCACATGGATGACGGTGGAATGTAGACCTTTCATCTGTTGCATATGGAGGCTTGTGTGTTGTACGGAAAAGACAGAAAGAAGCCCTAGTCCATTGCGGGTCGGCCGGGAGAACGTAGCCTGTGTACACTGTTACCAGGGGCGAAGAAATGGAGGCTAAAGACGAAAGAATTTAGTGTGCGTCTGCTGCAAAGACTAGATCTGAACATTTGAGGTTCGCATCGAGGGACTCAGGACAAATCCCTGCTTCTGAGGTAGTAGCTGCAGCGCTCGCACCGGCTCGTCTTAGCCAGTTTGGGACAGAGTTTCAAAAGAAGAAAAGCATGTTAACCACAGAGCAGGAGGCAGAGGGGTCAAAGGTCATTACTGTGGACATTTAGAATATTTATCAAGGCAAATTTGTGGAGGTTTTCAAAGCCCGTTCCAATTTCTTTCCTTTGTCATCCAATTCAATAAGACACTGAAATGTAAATAAAAACAGATCATGAATGATATTTTGTTAACAAACACTTGATCAAAATTTAACAGCAGCAAAACATCACTACAAAACATGAAGGAGGAGACAACCGAGCTGGATTAGTTCGGTGAATTAGGCCAATTTCCTTGGTCCAAATCAGAGGTGTGTAGCGTGAAATGAAACGCTAATCTGTAGATCTTATTTTAAATGATTAAAGATGATATATTTATCCATTTTTATTTACATTTATGTCTCAATATTCATTCAGATTTGGGGTTGTAAGTGAGAGTTTGTTTGACATTTGGTTATACAAAGGAAACATGAAAAATGGTAAGCACTGATTGACACTGTGCCATGGGCCAAAGGTGAAATAGGTTCAATGGTTGTGTACATATCCTTGTGTTCTCCTGATCTGGGGTCTTCATTACAGAGGTTTGTCTTTGTGGAGAGACAGTGTCTGACTGAGCAACAGTAGTCCACAGAACTGAAGCCAGTGGAGTGAAGTCAACAAAGCGGACCTAAAGAGGACAAGCCAAAATCCCCTCCGCCCCCTAAAATAGATTGGCTGATTTTGTTTCTTTATCCTTTAGTTGTTTTCTTTTTTTTCAAAATCAATTTCATTATTAATTACCCATCATTTTCACAATTTTTTTTTAAGAACTTCTATCTCTAAAGCATCTACTTAAATGTCAATATATAGGAAAAACATCCGAAAGAAAGCGTGTTTTTTTGCAGAGTACAGTGCTTTGGACACTAGACCCTGCATCGTCCACGCCTTAGCATTTTTTATACAATGGTTACAAACATACTCTCAGAAAACTGTCTCTTAAAAGCATCGTAGAATTAAAAAATAAAGAAAAAAGAAACGCAAGATGGCTAACTAATTCACTCCCACGAAAGAGGAGGCAAAGCAAATCCAACCATTGAGTTTTAGGGAACCATTTTTGAATTTCTCTTCACATTTCATAATAAAATCTCCCTCCTCCGCTGTAACATTTTTTTTTACAATATCATTCCAAAAGAGATTCGACACTAAAAACTGGATCGAATCGTAATATACATTGTTTTGAGAATTAAATTGATTTTTTTTTTTTTTGAAGGACAGCGTGACTAGTTCATCCCTAAGTCTTTGTTCTTCTGTACTGTACAATACTACCCGCCTGCATGGTGCACGTGGCAAAACACTGATAGGCCAAAAGAGATAGCAATGAGATACACAGAGAAATAGTGGAGCCCAAAATAGGGCCCCGTAATAATTCACAGCTGCTGAGGTTGAGGGCTAAAATGTGACGGACAGACAGTTAAATAATCATAACAGTCTTATTTATAGTTTGAAAATAAACACAAATATCTAAAAAGAAAATTGAGCAGCATCCCATCTGTCTCCCATTCACACACCAATCCAACAATCTGGTATTCTTGTTTCTGGTGATGAGGAGCTTGATAAAAAGGTAGAGAGCGCAGAAGTATTTTTTTTAAACAAACAAATTCCAACCAAAAAAAAAAAAATGAGAAAAAGTTTTAAAAATATAAACTCAAAATAGACTATGCTGTAGTAGAGGAAGCCGAGTTGTAGGCACTAGATAGACACTTACACAGTCCCAGACCTGCTGAAACAGAGCCGCTATCTGAACAATGCCAGAGTGTGTAACTATGAACATTCCCACATCTCTGAGACGGGCAGAGGAGGTGACGACACGAGACAACACGAAATGAACACGAAAGCCAGAGGTGCTGTGGCGCGGGTCAAATGAGCGGGTCAAATGAACTCAGCTGTGTGCCATACCCCCAAGACGCACTGCTTTCCAAAAACCGTTCCCCCGTAGAAATAATAATGATAAAAACGACAAAAAAAAAATCAAAAAGAGAGGAGGCCGGCCCTGATTTGACAGTGACGACAACTTGGCAAATGTACAATTCTGACGTTTATCTCTCTTGGGTCAGGAAGCAGGAAGTGTAGGTCACTGAGGGGGAATGAGCAGCAAGACAACACTGCCTTTAAAATAGGCTGAGGCAGACAGACAGGTTGTCAGACAGATTCGACAGGCAGGTTCAAATGCGCTGCTGCTCTTCCTGACTCCTTCTGTTGACAAAGTTAGTGGGCGGTACAAAGCACGCAGGCCCCAAAATCTTCTCACCCCCGAATCTGCCCTCCCCAAAAAACAGTGAGAAGTACTAGAGGGAGCAGGAGAGGTCAGAGGTCAATGCTGAGGGTTCACTCGGTCAGCAGCTGTTGGAGGAGGCTCTTCTGTTGGGCCTGGTTGTTCTGGGAGGCCTGCGGGACGGCGCCCTTCTGAGAGGCGCCGCCCCCCACCATGGAGCCCTGATTCAGATAGGAGTCACTGCCCACCAGGTTCACTGTGCACTGGACGTCTGCGAACACCTGCACCTGCTGCACCTGCTGCACCTGCGGGACAACCGTAACCATGACAAGGAGTTAAGGACGTTTAAAGATTTTGTTTAGAGTAAGGACTTCTAACTGTTACAGCATTCATGAATCACCTGCTGGTCGCTGCACACTGGGCCGATGGTGCTGAGATTGTTGTTGCTCATGGCGATGGGCTGCCCCATAGAAGGCACAGAGGCCACGCCCCCAGAGCCTCCAGCCATAGACACTGTGATGCTCATGTTGTTGTACACCTCCTGCTGGCTGAAGCTCTGCCCTGCACCCGGGCCGGACGGGCTAAACAGACTGCATCAGAACAAGCAGAATAGTATGATTGAAACACAAAACCCTTCTTACAGAGCAAATATACGAGTCAAACAGGACACCTGTTGCTGTTGATGGCAGTCTGCTGCCAGCTCTTCATGTCTGGAGACTGGTAGCTGGGAGGCGGGACTTGCTGCAGTAGAGGACTCTGGGAAGTGGAGTTTTGAGGAGACAATAGTGGGCTGGTAGGGCTCATCTCAGGAGGGAACGCTGGGTCTGGCTGGACTAAAGCTTTGGGGAAAAAAGATTAAATATTTTCATTGTTTTTGGGTGCTGTTTTGGGCAGTATTGAAAACATAAATAACATGTACAATATTAAAAAGGAAATATAAAACTGACACAAACTTGTTTTGGTATGTTAGTAACTTACAGTTTCCTCCAAACTGCTGGAACAGTCCTGTCTGCATTGTGTTGACGTTGTTGTTGTTGAACTGTCCCGACACTCCGCCTAGCAGCGTCTGGTTGCTCAGCGGGACTCGAGCAGTGAGCTTGTTGTCCAGAGGCCCAGCCGCCATGGGGCTGAAGTTACTGGGTGAGGTAGGGGGGTTCCCCGTCAGGGGGCCGTACCCTTGTGGGAAGGTGAACTGCTGAGGCTGCTGTGGGGGCTGCTGAGGGGTGACAGGGGCTCCTTTTGGGACCCTCACTGCTGCGATGGGCCCCACCCCTCCAGTGGGAGCGGCCATGTTCTGTCTCATCATCAAGACCTTCTGCTGAAACAGCTGTCTCTGCCGGTGCTGGTTACTGTAGAGCTCCCGCTGGCGCTGCGCCACCATCTGGGCATTCAGGGGAGGCTGCTGAGACATCAAAGAGACTCGTAGAGGAAAAGTCAAGACAGCAGATAATGTACATGCCAAAAGCATCCTCCAGTGTGAAGGACAAGAGCCAAAAAATATGTCAGGATGATGTGTTTATTTTTATCCATCATTATGTATTTACAGCACAAATGCAACCAGTGGTAAGAGGAACTGCACCTTGGGCTTCTTTAATACAAATACCTAAAGATACTGTGGATGGAGCTTCATCTACATTTCCTCCAAATTTAGAGCAGGACATTTGAAATTCAAAGTATAAACTTTTAAAAAAGTATAACTGTATGTACAACTAGACTGAGGCTACGGCTTGATTTTCAGCAAATCAAATGAATGTAACAGAGTGCAATTGTGACAAGCTAAAACATGTACCCATCTCCAGACAGGCTTGTGGCCAGGTCAGGTACACAGCTCACCTGTGAAGCCATCTGCGGTGGTGGGACTCCTTGTCGAATCCCAATATTCACATGTTGCGCTCCGGCAGGAAACTGGTTCAAACCAGCCATCCGGTTTTGCATCTGAAAATCAAGAACCATTAATGAGAAACATTTCTATCTTTCATCAATCTACAGATGTTTATTTACCACTGACAGTAGAAAACTACTTCAATACAGATTAAATAAAACAAACACTTTTCAATAAGCATCAAACTAGTGCTTATGGTTGAGTCATTATGCACTGTGCAATGATAGAAATGAAAAATAACTCTAAAAAACCTGTTACATTAAAGTATTTGCAGTCCATTTATAGTGCAGCAGTACCAGCGTGTCCAGTGTTCAGTGGTAACTGGTACATTATAACTATAGGTCTTAGACTGCAGCCAAAGAATGGGCAGTTACCGGGGGAAAAGCAGATGTCAATACTTTTACCAGTACATTTTCTAATCATTGTCTCATACACCAGCCCCAAAGGTCTCACCTGTTGTGGGCCCTGCAGCCTCTGCTGCAGCTGGAGCCGGAGCTGGTTGGGGGGCTGTCTGAGCTGCGTGCTGATCCCTGGGGCTCTGTTCATGGGCTGCCTCAGGCCTAGAGAGGCCGTCCCACCCGGGAAGCCCCCGCGAGGATTCCCAAAACCCAGGACTGGAGTTCCCACAGCTGCCATCTCCGGAGCAAACTGAGGAGTTGGTGTAAACTGTGAGGGGTACGAGGGCAGTTTGGGGTCCAGGGACACAGGGGTGGCAGTGGGCTGCTGTGTGGGGAAGGTCTGGGGCAGAGGGTCAAAACAGCCACCCTGAGGGCAAAACAGTTAGTTGTTTTATTAAGGAAAACAAACAAAACACATTCTAATGACCAGAAGAGAAAGTGTAGTACATCTTGTTGTATTTAAGCATATTAAGCATTAAGCATATTTTATTATGTTCTGTTTGACCACAGACATACAGTGTCTATCACATCGAACACTGGACCGACATCCAATTGACCCCTACCTAAAACTGGGAACTGGTCTATTGTTTAGTTTACACTACTCAAAAGTGATTCATATTCCTTCCAATAGCCAAACATCTCTAGTCTCGAGTGGCCTTAGTCACCTGTACGAGTTTGTCGATCCCCAGGGCTTTGTCCAGCTCGGCCAGTTCGCTCTCGTCTGTCCCGCTGAGGAAGGACACCAGCTGCTCCAGCAGAGCCTTCTCATCACTGCGCGCCTCAGGTGTGGTGGGAGGCCCAAGCACGTCATCCAGTGTACAGGGCACGCACTGCCTGCTCCAACACACAAAAGCTCTTACAAAGGGAACATCATCACAAAAAAAACATCTTCACACCCGCCCAGAAACTGTATGATAAGAATAGAGGTTATTTACTCTTGTGGTGAGGCCAGAGGAGCTTGTAAAGGGTTCCCCAGAACATCAAAAGGCAAAGTGTCCGATAGGGTTAATGGCTGGAACTGGGAGTCTGCCACGTCCATCTTGGATAGGCCTAGAAACAAACATAAGAAAGTGATCAATAAAATGTTGACTATTATCTAGAGTGGAACAGCATCACAGTGTATTATTTAGATAATGTACCAGTGCTTGAGCTGAAGATGTCCTGTTCAGGGAAGGGACTGCTGTCTTTGGGGGTGAGGAAAGGGTCAAACGACGTCTGAGTCTGAAGACTGCAGCCGGACACAGGGCCACCATCACTCAGTCCTGACAAAACACAAATCACAACTCACACTGTTATTCACCTGGAGAGAAGAAAACATTTAACAGTAATGCTTGAAATATATTCACCAAGCACAATTCAGTACATATATATAAAAAAACAAAACATTGTTCCTCTGTGTAAATCGTGTGTTAATATTTCAATGTAGTTTTTGGAGATCATTAAGAGAATAAATGAAGTATGATATTACTGCACAATGATGTGTGGTAGTGTGATTTAATGACCAGTAGGTGGCATCTAGGTTCAGAAAAACCTTACATTATATGTAGGGTAAGTAAGATATGTACTGAATATTACAAAAGCATGACCTATCTGTGTTCAAAGATATGAGGCTTATTCAATGTACAACACTGATATTGATTTATTCATTACAAAAACATTTAGCCTGATGTACAAGCTGTTTATATTTTTATTTTATGTTTTGGACCTCAAGCCGAATATTCTATTTAATTCTGTATAGATTGACACAACTAGAATCAGTTGCCTGTTGCCTGTAATAATAAAAAAAAAAACATGTATGCATCTCTATATGCAGCTTAAAGGTGCTGGCAACCCAGGTTGTGATTGTAGTCTTTTAAAAACAGTAAGAGTGGAGACGACATACATTGTGTATGTCAGACTTTTGAGTGCAACATGCATTTGTTGATTGATAGTGGAGTTTACTGAACGCACCACTATGGTAGGGCGGTGTTGGCAGGTGCCCCTTGTCAATTCAAATTCAATTCAATATATTTTCACAATGTTCAGCATTATATATGTCCACACACATACACACATAAATACTTCATACATACTACAAACACAAGTGTTTACTGTGCATATCATTCATAAAGACATACATGCCAGTATATAAATGACATTGAAACACTATGTTAGCTCTGTAATTTTATAGAATGGGGTTCATCAACCACTGTGTGGGCAACAATTTAATGGCTTTTTAAATTTGCATAAATATACAGTATGTTTTTTGTCAAATATGGCGTACCTCTGTTGGGTGTGCCTGGAGGTTCTCTCTTCACACCAACACTGCGAGGGGTGCTAGCCTCGGCGGGCTGCACCTGAGAGGGGGACTGGAGCTTGAGCTGAGGGGAGGGGGATGGGAGTTTGAGCTGAGGGGAGGGGGAGTGCATCTGGGGGGACAGTGCCTGCAAAGGGGGCAGGCTCTGGGCGGCCGAATCCTCACTGCCCACTTTGGCCCCAGTCGAGCCTCGGAGGCCAGGAAGCAGCTGGAGAGGGTCCACGTCAACAGCACCACCCGACATCTGAGAGGGACAAGCAGAGGGGACACTCCCATCAACACGTGGTCATAATCCAGTTTGTGAAACAAGAAAGAAAAGCCTGCTTCAGGCAGGGTTAAGTCCCAACTTGGTTTACAAACCAGTGTGGTCCATATTAAACCTGTGCTCATGGTCACACAGGACTCTCGTGTTTGAACATGGTCCAAAGAAAAGCTTTGCCAGAATGTACAAGCTCAACTGAACAGAAAGCAGTGTCAACAACATGACTAGAGTAATTTGTGGAAAGACCCAGAGTAGAATAGAGTTTTGGGGGACAAAAGGTCAAAGGTTCTGGAGCTTCTGGAAGCTGAGCTTACAGTAGAGTCAAAGTCCAAGAAAATAAACATTCAGCCTGAATTACGGCTGTCAGACAACTGCCCACGTTAAAGAGCAGAGTCAACAGGGAAGTCCAGCGTTACTGTCAAATACTGTTTGTGTCATAAAATCTGTTCTGAATTTAAAACAACATTGAGAAGCAAAGATATTACTGCAGATTTTCAGGGTATTACTGATAATTTAAGCAAATATGTTTTGACCTTAATAGGGTTCCTCATTATAAAGATGAAAAAATGAAAGAAACATGTTTTATAATTAAGAAGACCCTGCATTTGCTTATGTGCAGATAGAGCTCTGAGTGTTGGTGTGGTAGTGTACCGTGGAGTCTCTGCTGTCCTTGCGGCTGTCTCGGGGACTGGCCTTGGGGCTGATGCAGGATGTAGGGGTGGTGGGGACCCCTGCAGGTTTGGAGGAACAGGAGCCCCCTGTGGGAGGGAGTCCAGGACAGGACTCTGACTCGCTGGCTCTCTTCTCCAGCTTCACTCTCACCGTCTGAAGGCTCAAAGCTGAGGGAGGCGGCAAGTCTCCCAAATCCTTCAACAAGAAACGTCAAACTAAATAAAAAAAAGGCTAAATTCTCAAACTCTTATGCAATGTTGTAAAATGACAGTACGCCAGAATATAGACACTGATAGAAAGTTATTTTAAGAGTTGCAATTTTATATTTATTTGCTGGAGATGTACCTTCTCATCTGTATCCAGGAGGAAGCGCAGCAGCTGGTGATCCTGTGGCTCTTTGGAGCTGGATTTGGTGGTGGCCAGGGCAGGGCTGGCAGGAGGCTCCTTCTTGATCTCCACATCAGCTCGGTGAAGGCTGTCCTCTGCTGTGCTGGAGGACTCATTGGGGCTTGTGTCCTGGAGAAGGCGGTGCAGGATCTTGTGTCTTTCTGTCAGGGTGCTGTGGGAGGCGGGGCATTGTGGTGTGGGGTGAGGAGGAGCTGCTGAGCTGTTGTGGGTGCTGTTAGTTTCTGCTCCTGTCCCATTACTGTCCAGGAGCTGGTTGAGCCGAGGGTTTCCCAAAGGGGACGCAGATGGAATAGTTCTGACAGAGTCCTCTGCCCCCACATCTGCTCCTTCCGAGGGGCGGGGGCAGGGGTTGGTAGGAGTACTCGCTTGTCTCTGGACAGGAGAGGACAAGGAGAACCCCCCCGCTGTCCCACCGCTGGTACCACTGCTCCCGCCCCCCGCGGGTGAGTGGAGGCCTGCTGTGGAAGGAGAGAAAGGGTTCCCTGGGACTCGAGGGCTGCCCCCGAGCCCAGGACTGGCCCGTGGCATCCGGGGTGATATAAATGAGGTAGGGGTGGCTGTGAGTGGACTGCTCAAAGGGGAGGGGCTGTTGACCTGCTGCGTCCGAATGGGCGTCAGGTGCCCAGTGGGCGGGGCTGGGCTCTGTCCGTGCGATGAGGCGTTGCTGTTGTTTGGGTGAAGGCCCGAAGTGGTGAGGCCTGAGCCTTGGGATGAATTACTGCTGGGGGGCAGGGCCGGGGACCGAGAGGGCGTTTGGGCATTACTGTCCTGGGACAGTGGAAGGCTGGGGTTAGTGTTTTCCTGAGAGCTAGCAGTGTTGTGTTCCCTGAAAGAGGACCAAGGGATTACAATTAGACAAATAAGCCACAACTATGATGTAGATCTTTATAGGTGTGGAATGGCGTGCGTGTGTTAGGGTCTTACCTGTCAATAGTGTGGACGCCCATGATGAAGGGCTGAACGTCAGGGTTGGGGGGGCAGCAGAACTTGCAGCGTGTCTGAGCGCTGAGCGGGGTGCCGTCGCTCAAAGTGAAATGGTAGAGTGGACTGACAGCTGTGCCATGCGTCATCACTGTGGAGCACCAATATGTACACAACACATCAAAACAGGAACCCACTGTGGACTTTGCTCTCACTTTCTCACTTTTTCAGTGGATTGTTGATCAAGTGTAGTACAGGACTGTGCTTTCAAGAAAACATTAGTTTGTCAATGGACTCATGACAATTCTTGTTTATCCTTTTGCAAGAATATAGTAGACTATTTTAGAAATAGTTAATTGAATGAGTAAATATGATAAACACTATTTCCAGAGTGTAACAAAACAGAAATTCTTTAGCCAGGCGGTAGAAGTCTCATCACATAAAGAGTGATAAGCAATAGGGCGCCAAAAAGCCTCTGCCTCTCTTGGAGGAAGAGTACGTGAATGGTTTGGTGAAATGAGGCTTACCCTCGTGCAGCAGCTTCTTGGCGTGGGAGGGTTCTTTGCCCTGCGGCTGGAAGAAAGCATAGATGCACTTCCTGACCAGGTCTTCCCAGCCCGGTCGTCCTGTTGCTCGTAGAGAACTAGTTTCTATGGAGATGATCTTTCCTGAAGGGTCAAAGCACATAATGATTATTGCACAACATTAGTAATACAGTTTGTACTGTGTAGCCCATACAACTAAACTGAACAAGTCCCTTTCCTAATTCTTAGAGAATGTCATATTTAACTCTTGTATTCCCGTGGCTCAGCTTTTACCTGTAGGGTCCTGTTTGGTGATGAAGGACTCAGTGACAGGCTGCGGCCGGGGAACTCGACAGGCGATACAGATCAGGCAGCTCTGGAGGTCTGAAGGTGAGAGGACCAGGACAATAAAATCCTTATGTTAAACATATCAGAACAATGTGGTTCAATAAGACTGTAAGGTCACAAAACACAGAGTACAATCTTAATAATCTAATAATAGATTTCCATTTGCATGTCAAGGCCAATGGATAAATGACAAATCATTAATACCATACCTGGAGTTGTATTTAGTTGCTTTATTCAAACTTGTTTGATGAATCTTGTTTATTAAAGGTTGTATGGAGGATTTTTTTTTGTTTCAAGTTGTCAATGATAGCATTATAGAGGTGCAGTAGCCTTGTAATTATGATGACCAAAAAAAAGAGAATAAAAATTCATCAACTCTGGTGGGGCCAGCTAAACATTTGCCAATAGATAACGACACTGCCTCGTTATCTGTTAGCTGACAGGCTGTCAATCAATCTCCCTACGTTTCTAGCGTAACTGACTTGCCTGCGCGCCGCCGGTGCGAGGCTTACGTACGCCTGTCACGCAGTCCACAGACGCAAGCCGCACAGACGCTGTTTACTCCACCAACGCAACAGTTCTTAGCGGCTTTTTTTGACCTATATCTTCCTAGCAGTTAGCACAAAGTTTGTTGCAATGGCAGACAAGAATCCAGGAGCAGTTAGCCGCAAAAGAAAGTCCGTTTTTGAGATTGCTGAAAGAAGAAGACAAGGGGAAAAGCAGCAAAGCCAAACTAAGGTGATTCTTGAAGATTCATTCCAGCGATGGCGCAACTGAAGCAGACGCAGGGTCTAAAGACTGACGCATTGTTCTCCAAATTACTCCTGGACAGGTCACTTCTGCTTATTATGAAAACGTACTTTATTTCCAAGAGCTAGTCAAACGTTTTTCAGGACACGAAAGCGATATCCTATGTCTGAAAACGTAATTTTCAATGCAAAGAAAGAGTCCGCTTGCTGCTGCGTGTTGTAGCTAGTTCATTCGCACTGAATCTCCGCGCAACCTTCTCTGCACCCCTTTCCTGCTCCTCTCCCCGCTGCCCGTTCCGCTCTTCCCCCTGCTCCTCACTTCTCCGGGCACGGAATCTTCCACGCATGCGCAACATTTGAAAAAGGACAAACAGTCGCTGGATTTCTCGTTCCTTGGAAAATCCTCTATACAACCTTTAAGTCCACTCCCCTGAGCACTAACATATTTGTGATGTCATAGGTAGAGAACCAGAGTGTTCTCCTGTGCCGTTTTTAAATTCAAAAATAATTTCTGCTGTCAAATTGCATTCATTACATTTGCGTACTATCAATAACATGTTGGGGCAAGATAGACTTTTGTTTTTTCTCCCACAATAATTTCCTCTGCTGCCAGTAGATGCCAAATCCCAGTATAGAGAGCACAGCTGTAGGAACATGGTGTGTATTGACTGTAGAGAGGCATTATTTTAAGTTATGAAACAGATGAGCATGTTTAAAGGCCATTAAAAGGTACAGTCAATGCATAGTATGTGTTCTTGAATCATTGTTAAATAGTGTGTATAGTGGCGACATGCAACTGTACCGTCTCCCTCCTCCTGCAGGGGGCGGGGCTGGGACACGGTGAAGCACTGCATGAACTCGTACTGCTGGCGCGCCTCCTGATTCTCCGTGTCCACTTCGTCTGGTGGCCTCTTTAACATGCGACAGTTAAACGTGTGGCTGCTTCTCCGGCTTTGCTCTTGGGGCCACGGCACACCATTGACTGTAGGCAGAGTAAACATACATAGCACAGGTGAGAATGTAGCTCAAAGTTATAGAGTAAGAACACAATGAAGGCAGTTGGTAAAGTAAAAAAGTGCAGAAAGTACAATGGTTCCAAACATACAACAGTTATCTTTTGTTCCTATACAAACCGCCTGTGCCCCTCCCGCTGCTTAGTCTCTTGGCCAAGGCTGGAGCAAACCATTTTAATACGCAGCAAAAAGTCATTGTTTCACTCCTCTATCACTCTTCACAATGGTACGCCCACACATCCACTGTCTGTTTGTGCCCTCAAAGCAAAGCATGTCTACAGCTCTTCTCTCGTTCGATAAATGTGGTAAGTAAGACTGGCTTTGAGAGATGTCTACTTATATTTTTGTTCATCTTTCATTTTTCTAATTTTACTGTCTCAAATGAAACCAATCAACATCATCCTTCAACAAAAATGCTGAAGATTGAATTAGAGCAGATTTGTCCAATCTAAGATGGGAAAAAATAATTAATTGCATTAAAAACTGTTTAATGGGATATGAAGAACAATTGTCAAGTTTATTAAAAGTTTTAATCAACATGGTAAATCCATAAAGTTCACTATTAAAATTCACTTGTACACAAAATAAAATCCATCTGACATTATGAAAACATTTTAATTGAATTTTTAAGATTGTTTTTGTGCTGTGGCAGCTTTTCTTGATGTTTTTTCTAATAAAGTTTGACTTACCAAGACTTTTGGGCAGCAGGTTGCGCACAAATTGGTTGTGGTCTCCCAGATGGAGGATGCTGTAGACGCTGGACGTCATGAGCTCCTCCTGTGTGTAGCCAAGGTAACTGGTCACGTTCTCCGACACAAACACAATGCGGCCCTCGCGGTTGACAACGAAGAAGAACCCATCTAGGGCCTGAGGAAAGAATTTGTACTAATTACTAACATTCATAAGTGGAAACTTGTTGATTATTCAACAACAGAAGGAAGATGAACTTCGAAAACATTAAATAATGTACAAGCATTTGTTATGCAAATCTGAATAAAAGTACAGTTTTTAATAATTGAATAGCATATTTCAAAGTGTCACAGTAAAACAAACTTAAAATTCATAAAGTAATATATAAGATGCAAAGTATTTGAAGCTCTGCTTGCACAATACATCTAAAGATAAGATGAACACTGCTAAAGTTATCCAGAGCATACAGAAAGTATGAAATTTCTGTGAGTGGTCACCTCTAGCAGCATGGGCCCCAGAGCCTCCCTCTCCATCAGCCCCTGACTACTGGACGAGATGTCGCACTTCTGCACATCGTCGTCTTGAGACAAAAGAGCCGCTTTCTCTGTGAGAGGAAAATCACAAATCACACAACACAATACAAACCAAATACATGACCTTGAAAAAACACACACAGGAAAGTAAGTATGGCTTGTCTATGTACCAGTCTGCCATTACACATTGAAAGATCGTGGACAGTAGGGGTGGGTGAAAGCAAGATTTTGAATTCAACACAATTTATTTCCTCCTATAGGAGGAGTGGGTGAGGAAAATTGTTTGAGCACAGAGCTTCATTCAACAAACAAGCATTGAATGATAATATGACAAATTAATCCAGTCGTTCAATATATAAAAGCTGGAACCATATAAATATTTATATGTGTCCAATTTTTTCTTTGCAATAATGGGGAGATTTTTGCTGTTTGTTATATGTAATATAGAAAGATTTGAGCTGAAGGTGGATGAATAAATAACTTCTATGGCTAATTACTGGTTCCTGCTATTCATTTGTTTCAGCTCATGCCATGTAATGATGCAGTCTATTTAAAAACTGGTTTAGTGGAATTATCTTGCTTTGTGTCAGTGGCATGAAGTATGTTCAATAACATGCTTCAAAATGTGTTATGGTGACAGGCCTAGACCTATTGTTGAGATATTTTTATTACTTATATTCTATTTTGTTTTATTTTTACTTGTACATATACATTTATATAATTATGCCTTATTGGACACCATTCTCTTGCTGTTTTTGCTACTTATATAGAATTTATTATTATCATTTATATATTTTTTTCTCTTATTATAATATGTGAGATAGTGTGTCCAAGTAATTTCCCTTGTGGATCAATAAAGTTTGTCCTTATTACTTGAGGTAAATAAGGCTTTGTAAAAAGTTGGACATTTGAGAACTTTTATTTGTTGTTAGTTTTTCATTTTTTGACACGAAATATTCTATTAAAAAAAGAGTAGGTATGACAGTGTGTGAGTATGTACAGACCCTGCTCGCGCCGCTTGATCTGCTGGATTTGGTCCACGGTGCTTTGGAGGATGTGACATTTGTCTGGTTTGACGCTGGAGATGTCGCTCATGTTGGACGACAGCAGCTCGGCCAGCTCCTCGATGTAGCGGCACTCCAGCTCCCGCCTCCGCTTCTCCACGCTGCACACAAAAAAAACACAGAAAAATACACACACAGTTCACAAATGAGGCTTTAGTGTTATTATTATACCAGTAGTAGAAAATAGGGATGCCATAATATCAAATTTAAAGGTCATATATTACACAAAATTGACTCTTGTGACAGTTATGTCACATTAGGATATTATGGAATTGCGTGTTGTTGCATTCGTACATATTTGAGTAACCCTGAATTATTAGTCTGTCTATATCTCCAGAGCTCAAAATGCTCTGTTCCACCTTGTGATGTCAGGTCGTGATAGTTTTCATAGCTACCTTTTACCTTTTGTTTAGAAGAGATTGAAATTTTCAGGGCTGAAATCAACCAAATTATTCTAGTGAAGATGTGTGGAGTTTAAAAACACAGTGGAACAGAGTGTTTTCAGTTTGAGAAAGAACGTATCCTAAACATGCAAGGTTGGCGTGATAAACATGCGTGTGAATGAAATAAAACACCAAGTATGTTTTTTTGACAAGGAAACAACACTATAAATAGCGCAATATACATGCAATATAGAAGGGTTACGATTATTATAAGAAGAAGCTTCACAATGTAACGATGCACTATTATTGACTCAAACAAAACAACAGTGAATTCTTGTATTTTCTTTCAATCTAGCACATTAAAAGTACTCTTTATGAAATTAAACTTTCTGAATGCAAACTGGAATGACAAAAAAGTGATGAAGATTTCTTATTTTTATTCTTGAATAAATCATTACCGATTAGCCTAATTATGTTGACATCCCTACTAGGAGATAATGTGTTTCTGCTGCACAATAAACAAGCAGCTGTGGATAAAGAGATGTGAATCATATGACACTCAAGAGGCAATAATGCTTTGAAATAAAGTAGCTCTCCAATTTAAATCATGACTGTTCAAAGAATTAATATTGTGTTCTGCTAGACCTGTCATGGGAATTATATATCAATTTGTCATACAATATATAAAAGCTGGAACAATATATTTAATAATGTTTATCGTTTGTACATTTTCTTTACAATAATGTGGAGATAGTTGTTATTTTTGCGGGAATATGATAACATTCGTGCTGTAGAAGGTTCATTCTGATATTAGATTGATGTAGCTGAGGCCATTTAATAATACGATCTATTTAAATAACGTTTTACTGGGATTATCGTGTTTTATTTTTATTGTGCAAGTGGCATAAAAGTAGTTTCAATATTATATAAGCGTCTTTGTGTTACCATGAAAAGCGCTATATAAAACCGACGTAGTATTATTATTATTATTGTTTTTATTGTTAATCATTGTATACCTCTGTAGTAGGTATCATGCTTCAACATTTGTTATTATGACAAGCCTATGTACTGTTTTATCCGATGACTGAGAGCCAATCAACAATCTTGATGATATGAGTATGGTACATTTGTAAGCGCTGTATTAGGTGGTCATTGGAGATTGTTGAATTGGCATAAGCGGCCAATTTATTTTTCCAACCTTTCCATTCAAACAACCAAGTTAACATTCATTCCTGTTTTTCTGCATTATTCATGATAGGCCCCCATTTCAAGAGATCCAATTACAAACACGTTTAAACAAAACTCAAGCTTTCAGCCTGGGCAAAGAATAACATTTGTAAATGTGTAACTTTTAGGTTCTTACTTGCTTGCTTGAGTGTAAGACCCCCATTGTCTACGGAGCCTATCACCCATCTATAATGCAGTAAACATCACAAGACAGGACGCAGCTCTTATATAACACATGTTGGGCCTTTTCGCTCCGCTCTGTGCTAAAGCCATGTGCTTCATCTTCTTCTCAAATTGCACTAATACACTCGGAGGCCAGCGAGGAACAGCAAGGTATGTGGTAAACAGGAAAAAAAAAAAGGAAAAGCGAGCGGGAGCCATGTAGTGTGTGTGTGGGACAGTGAAGAAAGTAGGTCAGCCGCAGCACTGGGCGGAGGGACACGCAGCGCTCAGGCAGGACGGCCGTGATCGTGCTCCTGCCGCTGCTGTGAATGAACCGGTCAAGTGGACGTTAGCTACCATCTTACGAATGTTTACATCACACAGGGAGGGGGTGGGAGCAGATCCGCCAAAACAGTAGCTTCAAAATGTCTAAAGTATTAGTGAGAGCTGCAAAATTAATCACAATCGAATGAACAACTTGAATAGTCGCAATTAAGTCCTTTGTAAATAGCAAAATATCCTGGCTAACCCTGTAGCTTAGACCTCTACAAACATGTTCTGAAATGCATGGGATTGTTCTGTTAGTTCAGCAGTTCAGATTTCCGCCTTCTCTCAAATTTTAATGCTGGACATGTTCAAAATGTGCACAAAATACAATTATTAAAACAAAGATAATCACAATGTTTGTCCCAAAAAATCACAGAGGGAGAGGGTGGAGCAGATGAGCCAAAACAGTAGAATCAACAGTAGAATCAAAAGTCTAATCTAAGTTAGGGCAGCAATAGTAATCACAATCTAATCCATATCACCTTGAATGGTTACAATAAGAAAATCATGAAGACGTTAGACTTTAAGACTTTAAGTCCTTTGCAAATAACAAACCGTCAAAATTATCTAAAAAATACAAAACACAAAATGGCTGTAGTCTTTAGGCATTTTAAAACAAACAAAATGCACTTTCAACAGAATCCAATAATTAAATTGAAAATCATAATTATCATGTTAGAATGAAAAATCGCAATTGGATATTTTGCAAAACATTTTAATCCAATTGTTCCAGTCATTCCAAATTGTCACTGGTCAGCTGCTTGGGTTATTTTAATCAAGAGCTCTGCATCCAATGCTCTCTGATATCAATCCTTGTTTATCTTCATATAAATGTATATTAAAAGCAAAAAAGAAAATCTATAATCAAATTGTGTTTAATCGAAAATTTGATTTTGATCGGAAATACCTGATCTTTTTTTTTGCTCTGTTACCCAGCGGTGATTCAAACTACATTCACTACTTTTAGTTTTAAATCAAATTAAATCGGTGTTGTAACCAGAGCGTGACACAGACTTTTTCTCGAACTTCAAAGCTAAGTATAGTGACTTTTTATAGAAACATTAAATGTGTCTAATTGTCTGATCAGATTATTAAGAGATTACAGCAAATTCTGAAAGATTAGTTCTAAGAATGCACACAAAAGTCGTCTGTATCAAACAAACACCACATTGCATTGTGAAAAAGCCCAAGCGTCTAACGCCTAACGAGCTCAAGTCAAATGATCTCATAATTCAACTTGTTCATGACGCATTATTGATTACATAAAATCCTCCCTGTGTCTGCAGTTCACAATTTTGCATTGACATCACACTGGGGGTGCTCTACATGTAGTTACAATGGTAAATGTGCACATTAGCAAACACTGCCAAAAAACGTTGAAGACTGTCTGAAATCTCAAGAAAAAAATTCTAAATGGCTTTAAACAACTCATTTTCATGAGCGTGTGTTTAGGTGTTTGACGTTCAAAAAAAGATGAGAGTGGCTAACTGAAGTCGCAAGCTAATTCGAGCTACATTAAGTGCAGGAGACTTGTTTAACAGAACAAATAAGCTCATCTTTTGTAGTTCCAACCAAGTCATCTCTTTCAAGTCAGATGGTGATAAAACAAAGCTCAGAATAAAATCTAACTGGAGTCACAGCTCCTCAGATTGAGTAGTACCTTCAGTTAGCATCACAACCCCAGGGAATGACATCAACCACAAAGTATCAATAACAACTGCAATTCAATGACTACACGTCAAAGACATCTAAACGTGGAAATTGTTTTAAGGATGCATTAATGAGGTATTTGGAGTGAGCACAAACCAAAATGGTGACTAAGTCAACAGCTGTTGATATGATGCCAACCAAAGGGTTTAAGCATAACAACAGAAAGAAGAAGGAGGCATGGAGAGCGTTAGCGGGGGTTTTCATTCTGACTGGACAAGTTAATCTGCTTTTCGCTCAAGATGCTGGTTACTAGTACTTCTCTGCTACTTCTACTTCTCTGTAGTTCTCTGTAAATTTTTTCCATGTGTTTACATTTGGATTGGACAAAAAAGGTGTTATGTGGTTCAAAAAAGCAGAGTTGTCAAAACATTTTCAGATTGAATAAAAAAAGTGTCAATATCTCGTTTCATTCTTGTGGACCCGATCTCATGTCTCTTCTCGTCATCTCATCCCACCCCTAATGCACAGAGGTAGACTTTAGTCAACTTAGTAGAGTAAAGCCGTTCTAAAATAACCGTTAGCCCCATACACAGATTTTAGTTCTGATGGAGGATTGATTCTTTTCACCGTAGACCTCTGTGGGCTTTTACTCCACATAAATGGTTAGGTATGAAAAACACAGCAGTGCTCAGTTCTTCATGTGAATGGCACTTGAAGAAACCGGTCTAACACAGGAGTCGCCCCACATCAGTCAGAGTGAGGCGTAGGCTACAGGCAGAGTGCATTGTACAGTCATACACTAGCACAGAGGTTGTGTTCAAGAGTAAAGAAGTATCCCGCTGTGTTTAAGAGTAAAGGTATGTCCCACTGAAGCGTTACCTTTGGCCTGACGTGTCACATGGGGAGCCCTTCCTCTTGCGTGACTCTGGTGTAACCGGGTCCAGGGGGCTTTCCCCGACTGCACTCATTTTCAGCGTTGACTGGCCTGAGGAGGACAAAACAGGTACTTTAGACAGGTATACTCCACACAAAACAGAAACATGTCTGACCTAAAAACACTACTACTCAAGGTGCAACAACAGGAGTAACCCACAAAGACCACATTATTTCAACTTTTGTTTTATTGTTAAGTAAAGAACAACATAATAATACTTATAATAAAAAGAACGACACTGTAAAAGAAAGAACTACATGAAGATGAAACATGCTGACTGTTGCATCACTTCACTCTATGACCAAAGTGTGAAAAGACTGAAGGCTGAAAATGTGGGTTTGAGTTAGGAACTACTTTAATATTTAAATAATTTATTATGTTTTTTTTCTTCTGTTCATTGTCTGAAGATGATTTCCAAATACAGTGCATGAATCAGGCTGTCACTATAGTAACAGCCAACACAGCAGTAAGTCCTTGGTGAATGTTTAATTCTAGGTTAGACATAGTATTTTTATTTGGAAATTAATTGCAGATGGAGCTCCATGGAGGAAAATTTAGAAAATACAGTGTATAGACATGTTTTTCCTCTTCTTGTGCTGGCTTAGTGAGCTGTGTGAGCTCTCTCCCAGTGTAAGATGGCATTTGTGTACAACCTCCCAAAAGGTGGTTGTCCCTGAGCCATGGCGCTCTATAGGCCCGGGCTCCCGCTCACTCAACGCTTTAAATCCAAAAACAAGCGGCCATTGTGAGCGCAGCGCTGCTCACAGGACGCTAATCCTTCCTGACTGCCAGTGTGTAGGTCTCACCTCAGATCACCCCTCTCTCCTTCCTCCTACAGCGGAGCAGGGAAAAGAAAAAAACCCAAGTCATCTGCCGCGGCGCTGTAGCACATTAGCACTCAATAAAAACAGAAGTGAGCCCCTTTCCTCAACCGCGCAGCCGCTCCACTATTCAATAAACGCTCAAGAAGCCACGTTTGTCTATTAATAAAACTGGTATTATGGTTGCGCGCTCCAGCTAGCATCCAAGGTTTATTTTGTGGGATGGCTCTGGCAATGGTAGGGGTCTGTCTAGCACCGCAGCTGGGGTTCAAGTAGTTTTATAGTACAGAAGTCACACTGAAGTATCAACATCAGGAGTAATAGGACAATTTTATCATTACACCGAGCATGAAGTGGCTTTGATAGACCTGAGAGAAGATGCATCTTTGAAAAGGCTGGATGTTGTTTTTAGAGAAGCATTAGTTTTGCCCCCAATTATAAAGCAATCTGATGTATCTGTCCAGGGAACTGATCTGAGAGAGTTTATCCTATTCTGCAAGTCAAAAGAGTTGGGCGATATAAAGAGTGTATAGCGGGATTTCCTGGCCATTGCATGTGAAATGTTTACATGCCCTCGAACGTACCGCTTTCCAGGAAATGTTTCTCATAGTACAGGTAATTGCTGGTTAGCATTCGATGTATACTGTGTAATGTACTCAAGATGACACGCAGGAGTCCTTCACAGTGCTAAAAAGAAAAACACTTCATAATTTCATAACTGAGCGTAAGGAAATTGTAAGTCATTCTGAAAAAGACTTATGACTTATATAATAAACAAAAGTACAGGCCTATAAAGCAGCCTTGTTCAGGAGGTAGAGAGGGCGTGAAAGCTGTTGGACATGTTTGCAGCTCCGGTCTTCAGGCTCAAACTGCCCCCCTCACGTACCTGCTGTGACACCTGCTCCTCTCCAACTACATTACAAGTGTTTTTAGAAATATTTCACCCAATGTACAGAGTGGAAGTGTTCTCTTTCACTGGTACACGCTCCAGTATTCAGCAGCCCGTATAGAGTTCAGAGACAAACATAAATAACTGAGCGTCACCACTGTCAAAATACAGGAGACTTATGAGGCAAGCTTCTACTGTAACTGTACAATGTGTCACATGGTGCAGGGTCAGGGGGTTTAGTGCTATAACATCTGATGTATGTATGACTAAAGGCTTGTTTACACATACATACATTACATTATGGTACTTTATACTTTATTTTCCAATGCCAATGGGGCAACCTGTCAGGAGCAGGACAGAGCTTGAGATCAAGTGCAAAACAAGGTGCACACTGATTATTTAGATGGCGCAAGTGCAATTCAAATGTTAATCAAGGCGTGAAATAAGGAAATATTATCACAGTTGTTGTGTCAATTTAACCTGTTCTTGTTGACAGTATAAACTTGTATTCTTATTGACTATATACTGTCTGTAACAGTCAATACAAAAAAACAAATACTTCCTGGTTGGAGGCAAAACAGGTCAGTCAACACTTTCGGTAAAGGATGATGAGTAATTAAGTCATTACAAATGCCATGACATTATGGTACATTCAATGTCCAGATATTATTCAAAACATCATTACTTCTGTAAAGCTGTAGTGGACAATAAGTTACTACAAGGCAACTTGAGCCAAAATCTCCTCAGCAAAGGTATAATCATGTAAATTCATAACATTCATCCTACAGCAGAGGTGTCAAAAGTATCGAAAATCAGATTAATACTAATAGCTTTAAAAAGATCTTGAGCTGTATCAGAAATATAAGCCCACATAGACTAGTGTACTCCCATGGACCACCACTATGGATCTATCTAAGGCCACATGGTAATAAAAAAAGAAAATACTATGATTTAATATTAAAAATCACATTCTACTCTCTAAAAAAAGTGTTTTTTATTGGCATTGTTTTATCAGAATCTGTACTGGGTATCATGTCTATGTCCTAGTATGAAATAGTTTGAAATTTTAGTATCATTATCCTACAGCTCTGCATCCTAAACTCGAGTACATCGTGTATTTTAATGACTCCACAAACAGAAAAAACACAGCCTAGTACTTCCTAATGTGCGCGACCGAACAAGCCCGCCCAGCACTGCACCTCTGGGGTTGAAGTTGTCGATCGGTATCAGCATGTCTCCTCTGTCACTTATCCACCCTCAGACCTCCTGACCTGAGCATGCGACGTGCGGCGGAGAGCTGACTCTCCACAAAACCGCAGCAGAAGCAGGACCAGCCCAAAAGAGATAAGAGCGAGCGAGGGCGCCTGCTCCATCCTCATCCACAGCCCCGTGCATCAGGCTTTTGCTCCGTCTCCTTCAGTTTGTGATGCTCATGCTTTAGTGATCCGCAGACACACACAAACATACACACACACGCTCAGTGGAGATGTCCAGGGGGAGAGGAGTGGACCACCAGAGCCGCAGTCACAGGGAGGAGACAGCATCAGAAGACCATGTGGTTTTTAAATGATTGAAACAAAAAATAAAAACCACTAAACATTTGAAAATCCCTCTGACACATTAAATTACATGAACACTGATTGAAACCTGAGCAAGAAACAAAGCACTTTTTTGTTTTGCAATTTCATTTTTTTAAATAGTGGCAGGAAAATCTACACTGAATATTTTTAGGACAATTAACAATATTTACATTAGATTTGCTTTTATAATAAACCATGAAAAAATAAACATAAATATGAACACTCTGGAGGATGCTGGGTTAACATTAAAGGTCAAATGGAGCATCTTTAGAGGCAGGAGGTGGCTACATGAGATATAATGAGGTATTACTAACCCAGAAGTTTAGAAGACTACTCTCATTCATTTTAGAAAACAAACTAATCAACAAAATCTAATGCTATAACCATATCTATATTCCAATATCTATTCTGTAACCAGTAAATGCATTATGTGGCTTAATGGTTTATATCGATGGTTGTATCGGGCTGTTTTTATTTGTTGATAATCAAATAAACATTGGACAAATCCTGTATTTCCCAGCCTATAGACAGGCCAGTGCTTAGTGACTGCAGCCCCCCTCCCCGCTGTCTCACATGGTACGTCCCGTGCGAAGCTGCTCAGTCACTGTTGCTAAGGCCCACCCTCCAGAATATAGGACATGAGCTCTAATGTATACAGTCTCAGCAGTGTGAAGCCCGTGCACTCAGAGCTCTGCACGAAGCATGATTCATTCAAAACACGTCACATCAGCACAGGGTCAGACCAACCGATCTCTCATAGGTCATTTTACCTTTATTTATTTGATAGGGAGACTACCAATTAATTTATGTTTGGTTTGATTTTCTTTTTTATCAGATTATTCCAAAGAAGTGTGTACGTCAAAACTGTATATATAACTAGCATGATAAACAAAAACTTTAGGGTTTTTACATTATTTCAGATAAAATAAAATAAATGGAAGAAGATTGCAAATGGTCATTAACTAAAAGTCATAAGAGAACTAAAAGAGAAAAAAACACTAGACAGCACATTAGAGAGAGACTAGTGATACATAAATCATTAAGGACTTACATTATGCCATTTTCCATTTTCAGACGCAAAAAGAGTTCATTTGTAATCCATCAGGGTCCTAGATTGTTTACACCATGAGTACTGGTGCAGCCTATTATTGTATTTAGCATTAGACTATATTTTGCACAGTCAAGCTCCGCTGTTACACAGGTGGGTCCTTACAGAGCACTCACATTTATCAAGTGCAAGTTAAAACCATCTGGTGCTCAAAAGCCAATTACAATGCAACTGCCCATGTAAATATATCAGAGCACGTTTGAGAGGACTTCACAGGCGGCTGCTCTCTCTCTCTCCCTCTGCGTGAGAACAGGAAGAGGACACACAACTTTAACAACAGCTCTTTGCATTGTTTTAGTTGTTTGCTTTTTTCACTCCCACCGACGCAACTGGCTGAAATTTTCATTCAGTTAATCTGAAAAATTCATTGCATAAGCCCAGAACCCTGTCTCCATTAAAGTTACACCACGGTTTAAAGGGGCCTTATTCAGTCCAAGATGTCGACCTGTTATAATAATTACTATATCAGCTTATCGTTCAATACATGACTGATAGAACTTTTTTTTGGGGGGGAGGGGGGGAGTACATTTTGTTGTGCTACTCGGAAATTACTGGTTATTTTCTGACTATGTGATAAGATTTGCGTCACAGAAGGTTGAATTAATAACTTTGACTCGATACAGATGCAAACTAAGTACTACTAAGTGTTTTTTTTTAATTATTATACATTTAGAATAGTTTCTGTGGTTGAAATCTACTCTTATGGTATTGTGTCAGTGTGTCAGTTTCAGTATTATCGTTTATCGTCTATAATTTCTTTAGCAAAGTGTTTATTACTGTTTTTTATTGTATTAATTTGTCTGTGCAGCACTTTGGAGACTGTCATGTTTATGGAATGCGTTATATAAATAATGTGGATTGGATAGGATTTAGCAATATGTCGTGCTTCAAAATTTTTTCAAAAAATAGTGACAGGGCTACCAAGAAGTCTGTTGTCAAAGACGACATTCAGATCAGTGACAAAGTGGTGAAGCAGTAAAAGGAGATGAAATGAGATGAAATGATAAACTGCTCATTGACGATATCTGCATTCTAAACACGTGTGTTGAAAGGTAAAGTTGCATATGGTTGATTTGAGCGTGACTGGCCAACACTATTCTCAGCTCTAGTCACACACAGACAATAAGACACGTTCAGCCATCAGTGCGTCTCCACATCACATCCACAGTCTGCCCACTGCGAAGAGCCTCATCCATTAAACTGTAGCAGATTCATCTTCACCTTTTTCAAAGTGCGGCGAGAGGCTGGCATCAATATTCAGTGTGGTATTGAAGCACTGTACGCTGGGTAATTTTAGCTGGATTGTGCATGTCCTGGATTCACCTCAGACACACTGTGGGAGGCCTACGCTACAGAGCCGCGACGTCCAGAGGAGCACGGCCATCAGGAGCCCCCAGGGACACGATGATAGGCTTTCAACAGAGAAAGAGAGAAGGAGAGAGAACAGGGCTGTTCGCTCTGACGCTACACCCACCAAAAACAGCAGCGATTCCCAAACTGTGGTCTCTCTTCCGATGGGACACGGGATTGGGTTCTGTTTTCATGCCATTTATTTTAGTCAGCAAGCGTAATGCATGCCTTGTTTTTCATTTAGTCCAGATTTAACCCTTTTCCAGTCCTGCTATAGTCCTGGTACAGTCCTGGTATAGATTAGGTTTGGGCTTGGTTCGATGTAGATACCTGTTTACAGAACTACTATGTGATGAAGGGGGAAAAGAAAAAGACAACTGGGATTTAAACTCGAAACACTTCACTGCCAATGTGCTGTAGCTCGACCCACGGACGAGACAGACCCTCCTACTTTCTGTCTGAATGAAAGGGGGTCTGGGCCCAGATCATACAGCGTATTAGACAGCTGTGCAATTTTGGGATGTTCAAAACATGGACAATAATTTGTAGCACATCTCTCTCAAACGCTGAACATCTCCTACTGAATATTCTCGTATTATTACTCAGAATTAAATAACTTTTTGTTTTTATTTAGTGGATTTTGCAGGGCTACAGACAGATTTTTTTGGGGACAATAGTACTTTGCTAAAATCCATGCTGTTTCTAAGTCCTTTGTGCTGTTTTTATTTGTAAGGCGCCATAGTTTTGACACAAACAATTTCTGTGTTTCTCCTGAGACAGAATAAAAGTTTAACCAGTGCTTAGTACTTAAAGACATTTGGCTACTTATCTAGGACAGTAGTTGTTCCCATAGAGTGAAGTTTTTTTTTCAAATAAAACAACTATGTGAAAGCAAGTGAACCATGACACTACAAACAGCATTTAAACTGAACCTTTAATCCTCCACCATCCTCCTCCCGTGTAGAACACTGCAGACACTTGGAGCAGAGAGAGAAGAGAGGACTTACTTGGTCTATGGCCGGAGTGTGGGAGTCATGGGGCAGCTGTGGGAGCCTGGGGCAGGCTGAGAGGGCAGGGGGCGAACGGCGCGGCTCAGGTCAAGGCTCGTCGCCCGCCCGCTCACATCGTACCATCCCAAGTGGACACCACGCCCACACCGCTCGCTGGAAAACAAAGACAACACAAACTTTCAATCGGCATAAGACATAAGACATTGACCTTATTTAGTTTAATATTTTAATTTGACAGGTCCATTTTCTAGTCAGAGGTTGCCAAAATGAACCTGTCACATGAAAATATATTAAGAGACATAACGAAAATAAGTGCTCAACCAAATCAACTGAAACGCTTTAGTCATCATTTGAAAACTATAGCCTCCGCGTCGCCTTCTGTCATGTATGTTTTCAGTCTAAATACATTCTTCGACTGTCTTTGAAAATTCTAGGGACAAAAATAAATGGGAAATGCACTCCCAGAAGTGTGTGCGAAGTTTGAGGTGAGCGAGAGTGTCGTGTTGAGCTCCATTAAACCCGGCTGATGAATTCAAAAGGATCTGCTGTCCTGATCGTTGGTCTTTACAACTGAGTCGCATGAACCCGATTCACACAGGTAAAGGTCAATGTGCCCATGGGACTATACAACAGGACGAGGGGACCTTTTTACTCTTACACATCTGAAATACTGTCCTGAAGAAGTCTGACTAGACAGCGACAAAACCTGTGCAAATAAGACGACCGTTACATCCCACGACCAGAGGAAGAAAAACTAAATTTTGAACTGAAAAAATAATATATATGTGAATATAACATCAAAAGACTATTTACAACTAAAGTGTGCAAAAAGTACCAAATTCATAAAAGGTTAAACATTTCATAAATTTGAGTTAATTTGAAAGTACTTTTTGTGTTTATAATTATATATTGCAGAATATAAAACATTTCAGAATTATTATTTTTAATCAAATTATCCAAGAAAATGACATTACTTCTCAAGATGCTAAAAACAAATCCAGCAGCAAACACTCAATGCACACTTAACATAACAGCGTCCTTGATAATAACATATAATGAATGACTTAATAAAGCATGTTGTTGTTTCACACTTCCCGCTCATCTCATTAGAAACACTCTTAATATAATATTGTGACAGCGCAGTCATGCCTCGGCTCACAACAGCATCATTACAGCCAAGTAGGTGAATAATTACACCACTCCGCAGCCAATAATTGTGGTTTCCATTTGTCTGCCGCATTTGCAAAGACATGTACTTCACATGTTTGTATGAAAACATTAAGGTCCCATTACCCCGCACAACATCATAAGTAGCTTTACAAACAGGCTATGAAATTTCAAGGAACCTGCCCTCTCAAGAAGTGTATGCATGCTTTGAGCTGTAAAGACTTCAACTTCGCAACAGCACGTATTTGGATTCTTATCTCGGGTATACAAGTAAGGCTACAATCTACTCTCTCTTACGTAACCACTGAGTTAGAAATCAATTGCATCATTGCCCTACATTTTCGTGGATAGTAGAAAAGGTCAAATATTCCGCTTTCTTCTGAGCTGGTTCAAAACGCAGGTCAGCGAGGGACCAGCTACAGTCGGGAGCCGCATGCGTCAAGAGAACTGGTTTAGTGGCAAAACTCTGAACAAAGTGTGAACAAAGACTAAGGACAAACCCAACATTTGAAAACACACTTTTAAGTACATGTTCATTATGGAGTGAGGTTAATTTGAAAGGTTTTCAATAAGTGTCCCAAAGTGGTGTGCGGCGCATGAGGCAGGAGGTAAGGTACACGGTGTACCTTCAGCAGTAACAAAGAGGAAGGGAGACACATTTGGGAAACGTACACTTCACAAATCTGGGACAATATCTAGTGTTTGTGAATGATAAAAGGTTAGATCAAGTTAAAACAAAGGACAGAAGAAACTGAAAATGTGTCTAGGAACAAAACAAGTGCATTTCTATATGAAGCACTATCTGGCCATTTTGGGCTTATCTGGGGTCAAATGGGGACAGTGGTTTAGATGACCTGCTTTATACACAGACTTACAGAAGCTTTTGGCTCACACTAAAGCTCAAACAAGTTAATTCATTACAACTAATCATTTACTGAAATAATCACAATCAATTTATCACTCAAATAAAAGTGTTCTGAACTATGCAGACTCCAAACGTGCCATGTGCTGAGAAGAGTCTTATAACTCAAGAGCAGTCATTTCCCCAAAATGACACAAGAGCATCACAGCACTTTATGCACTAAAGCACTTTAAACTATCTTAAAGCGAAATACCACAATGAAATATAACAATTCCACCCCAACCTGAGTTTGTTTTGAAGAACGATACATCGCTGAAGAAATTATAGACAATAAACGATAATACTAAAACACATTTGTGGCACTGACACAATAACACAAGAGCACAGCAGAACAGCAGAATGAAACGCTTTAGTACTTAGTTTGCATCTGTAATGAACCACAGAAGTTATTAATTTAACCTTCTACAACTCAACTTTTATCATAAAATCATAAAGTCAGAAAATAACCAGACATTTCCTAGTGGTGCAAAGAATAAATCCATATAGTATTTATTGTGACAGGCCTACCTGTACTATGTTCAGTCTGCTGCAATTTTTTCTTGTTTTGGTCCCAGTGTAAAGTAAAAATCCCTCGTGAGGGAAATTCATTCGCTGCAATTGATCAATTTTTCAATGCCGCTGGGGCTGCCTGCTGCTGCTGCCACACAGCGCTGTGGACCCTTGAGCTCAGCTTGTGCAGGATCACATAACTGGAGGATTTCATATTGTCAGTGACTGAAGAAACTCATCATTTCAATCACAGTAGTGAAAATACTGAAGTAGTCATTTAAAATGTACTTTTAGAAAGAAAAAAGTAGAATTTTTTCATACAGATTTTGGGAACTGATAAAACAGTCACATTTCGAGAACTTAATAATACATTTCACTGATGACTGACTTGATTTCAGTATTTTTCTAGTAACTGAACATCTGCTGCAGAACACAGACAACAGGAGTCTCATTTCAGAGAGCCATAGAAACTAAAAATTTCGTACTATTCCTGTATGTGCGCATGCTGCGCATCAACACACTCAAACACTGTGTGGTCTTCACTTGACATTCACACTCCCTCCATGAGCTGATTCCACACTTCACGTCAGAGCTGCCACATCCACGCGCCTCCTCATTTACTCCCCTTTGTGCCTCAAGGCTTCAACCACTTTCTATTCCTCTCTTGTTCTTTATCTCCCTCCCAAACTTTTAATTTATTGCCCAGATGCATTGTGGGTGTTAGAGTTTACTTGTGCAGCACATAAAACACCTCCTAAAGTCAACGCGGGGCAGTAAAAGCGGAGCGGCTCCTCTTACCGAGCCTCGGCCTTCATCTTGAAATGAGACCATTGGGGCTCCACTGTAAACCACCACAACAACTGGTCCAGAGGGGTCTTTTTCCCACCAGAGCGATCCATTTCTGTCTTCCCTTCTGTGAATTTCCTCCACACGTTCATAGATACTGCAGGCATGAGAGCATATAAGCCCATGTGCTGACAGCAGGAGGACTGTACACAAACCGTTACACGGAGAATGGTTGGGCTGTTGGCAGAGGCCGATGAGCTGCACTCACATGGAACTTTTACTGCAACTTCTATAATTCTAGCCATATTTGTGAATCCATCTTGTGCCTGACCCACTGCTGCGTTTGATGCCAAACCAGTGGATCTGAAAATGGACCAATCATAAAGCAGCATTTTGGTTCAGAGCAGAAATCAAAGATCAAGTGTCAGACACAAGTTGAACAAGCAGCAACATGGACAAACGTACTTGAGACTATGAGCGGATGTAGGGAGAGTGTTTGATTTCTCTTTGCTCCAATCAGTGAGTATTCATCTCAATGTTCTGCCCTCTAATGAATGCTTTTACCAGGAGCCACTGCAGATATCGTAAGCCAGAACTGTATACAAAACTGCTAACATCAGACAGACACTGCAGAAGCTCCAAACTAAATAAGCTAAAGGGTCTAAAGACTAAAATAATCTTGGCTGACCCAACCAGTATACTACAGTAAAGTGAGTGCTGTCATGGAGATAAATAAATGAATTTAAATAAAAAGCATAAGAGAGATTTTTTTTGCCGATATTCCAGACCTTTATGCCAAAGTGCAAAGGCCATGTGATTTCTACCACAGCACTATGTCTGGATTTATTAAGCCATTTTATCAAGGCACACGTATTGTAACTGTAAATGACTCCAGTGGTTGTAAATGTCACTTTTGATTGCCAATAGGTAATGTTCTTTTGCAAATAATATGAGGTTAAAGAATAACAGGCCTGCATGGCTCTACGTGTTGTTCAGAGAGTTTACATAGCAACATCGTCTCCGACATTTCAGAGAATAGAGTTGTTCGGCGAGTTCTTTGTCATCATTTGTGTTTTGACAAACAGAAGGTCAAGTATGTAAGAAGTATGTCAGTAATGGATATGTTAAAAATGTATTTTGTTTTGAAGTTGTTTACAAGGCAGTGCAGAAGTCTTTATAAAAACACATTTGATTAGTGAGCCTCCTAATTCTAAATGCACAACTAACGGATGTATTTGTTCTTGCAAGTTTCGCACCAATATTTGCTAAATCTGACACTTGCGCCACTTGTCATCTTTAAAGGATGCCAGGGAAATGATAATCTATTTGATGCTGACTCCTAAACTAAACAAACAAGAGATGAGGGTCGCTAAAACAAACACAACACGGACTTAGGCTCACACTCAAACTACTTTCCAGGAAAAGGAGAAGCAAGGCCGCACTGTCAAAGTGGATTTCCCTCAAGCTTAGAGATTTGTTTTTTGGAAAACAGGATGGCCATTTAAAAAGCTATATATTTTCCTAAGTGTTGTGCAAATTAGAACCGTTTAACCATTTGGGCATGTTATTATTCAGTCCCTCATCAACAAAAACATTTTTCAAATAAGAATGAAAATATCACAGTTGTGAATCTTGTCTTAAACACCAAAGTGAGGTATTGAAGAGTATGGTGTGTGCATCCTGAGTCATGCTGTGGCCACTGAGGAAGACTTGAGCTTTAGAGCTGAACAAACACATCTCATAGACACGAGTGAAGACAGGAGCGCAGACAATCAGCTCTATGTTCTGGAGCAGGGCCAGAGCTCACCAACGCTCACAAACACACACACACCAACGCTCACAAACGCACACACACCAACACACACCAACGCTCACAAACACACACACCGATGCTCACAAACACACACCAACACACACATACTGGAACAGCATGTTGTTTGACATGGGTCCTATGCCTGTTCAAAAATGTAATATTAAAGAAAACGATCTAAACAGAACTAAAACTAAAGTGTCATTTTTCATACAGGCCTCAGAGTTGTTAGGACTCAAAAACTCAAAAAAACCCACTAGAACTCAGTAAAACATTTTCTTGGAAAAATATGTACATTTGAACATCTTGAACATAAAAAGAACCACAGTGGGAGAACTGCATAAGGATGATGTCTCATTAAAAATAAGAGATGCCAAGTTCTACTCCATATTGTATAACTGAACAGCAACCGTTTAAATTCTCACATTTCAAATGCAGGTGAAGGCAGTGGCTTTTTCACAAGAATCCATCTGGCCTGGCTCCCACCGCTGCGATTGGGTCGCCAGTGGTTCGGAGGCTGAACCAATCACGGGGCAACATTATGGTTTGGGCGAAAGCCAAAGATGAAGCGCCCAAGTGAACCAAAACACACATGGCGACGCAACAGACACGCTTCAGCCTATTTTAGTTAAAATGCTGACTATTTTGTTTGTGAAAAAAATGCAGAATGTAAGCCCTTTGTGCATTTGTGGATAGAAAAGTTGTTTTTCAGCTTGTTGGTAGTTGTGACGATTTGACCAATCAGCTTGGAGGGTTTGTTTGCACATCCTGATCACTTTCAGCAAGAGCCATCTCAGAATAATAATGGTGTAGAAGGTGTAGGCATTAAATGTATCCGTCTCCACGGAGACAAGCAAGTGACGCCTCCAGGCCAAGTTACAGGTCAGATCTGTTGAGAGGTGACTCCACTCCCCACAAGACTGTATTTTTGGGCAATAAAGTCTTTTAGTTTAAAAAACAAACAAAAAAGTATAATGCCAAAGAAAAGCTCGTCTGTCACAATAACAAATTTTGAGGTACGAAATATTGCTGATGAAAACATAGACAATAAAGCAGGATTTCCCTCAAAAAACTTTTGTACATGTGCAGGACTGTTAATGAACAATAAATAAATCACACACATGCCTCACACGTCCTCACATGGAGCCAATGCATGTAAATGTAAATGAAATAAAGCAGCAGAGTTGATATTGTTTTGGGTGGTCTTATGCTGAGCCGCAGTAACAGTGGAATGGAGCACCCCCAGGCTGCTCTGAACTGGCTCTTATCTGGTGCATCAGAGTGAAGGGGCCCAGTGTCGCCGTGTATGTAACTCCACAAACAGATAAACGCCAACAAACAGCACTAATGGCTGCAGCTTAAATAAACACAAGTGCAAACATCTGAGTATGTGATATACACATTACTTCAATAACTGGAGGCTCCTTCACATGAGTCATTGTTAACATTATAAATGCTAAACCAGGTACAGACCAGCGGACCTACTCAAGCTCCAATATGGGACCATGCTCATGATCTCATATTAGCAACTGGCTACTATTCAGTGCAAATACTGAAAAAAACTAAACATTTTACTACTGCTACTAACATTATCATCATGACTTTGAGGCCTGCAGAAGAACATCCGTTATCATAAGCAGTTAATTTTTTTATTTCTCAAGTCAAAAAGTCATCATCGTGACAGTTCAATGCCTCACCTAAGATTTTAGCTCTAGCTCTGTTCAATGTTTATGGCAGTTTTCAAACAGAAACATCTGATCACAACAGCTCCTGCAACAAAAAAACCCCATAACTGTCATCGTGAAATTGGAAGCATTTATAACAGAGCGGTTGCAAGGACTCACAAAGATATAGATCGATACTCTTTCGCAGCTCTCGAGAAGACCCAAGCTTTTAGAATTGACTGTAGTGTCAAACTTAAGCGGGCAACAGGTGGCCACATGTTTGTAAAAGAAGTCAGTTCAAACAGGACACAACTACACATCAGCTTTGTCAAATCATATTCCAATGAAGAGCAATACTTAAATGAGAGAATACAATGGCAAAAAAACATCAGCAGCTCACCACTCTTCAATCAACACTGTACTTAATGAATCAATGCATTATTTAACAACACGACAATAGCAAAAGGGTGAAAGATCATGTGGACTGTTCACATAACAGATATTATTTTCTTTATTTGACCATTTCAAAGATTTTGGAGCTTTAATATGAAGTATGAGTGTACACATGTGAAGTTTAATTTGGGATGCACGTCTTTCTGTAGATCTCACTTGCACTGAGAATAAGTTAAAGCGGAGTAAAGATTAAAAGCTTTACTTATAGTTCAGAACTTTAAGACAAGTTTGAAGCCGTATTTCTTTATTACAGCTTATATAACAGTATCCTATAGCTCCACGTTACAGCATGAGTAGTCATCCTTTTAATAATTCAGTGTGTGATGCTTAGGAAACTGTGGTCATTCTGTCTCATCATTACACCACTAGGCTCTGCTCAGTTTCTATAGCCTAAATAGCCTACGAATATCTATTTTAGCACGACTCTAGAGTTGCTATTACAAAAAAACAGCGTCTGCGTGAACTGCTGCACTCTTAAAATAATCTTGTCAATTTTCCAAAACACTGGATTTAGCTTATGCAACATAAATCCTGGAAAGCTGTTGTCAATGAGTATCCTATAATGTCAGTTTAACGCAGAGCACTACTACCATCGGGGCTTGTTATGCTTGTGCGCTGCCCCACTACAAGTTTGCTCTTTAACCTAAATAACACAATCCATAGCCCAATAGCATAACCTACAGCGGTGACTCGACATCATATTGCAATGTTTAGATGTACGACGTTACGAGCACGCAAACTGAACCAAGAGGCGGGGATTTTGACGGATTGGGTTTAATTTTGGGAAAGTACAGCAACTTTATTGAGGCTGTTAAACACTGCATACACCTGGAAAATTGCCGAATGTTGCACAATGGACTACGTGAAAGGGATTTGTAAATGAATAGTCACTTTTGCAGCGAGAAGTGGGGTGTTATGGTCGGAAAAAGCACAATGCAGCTCGACGGAGGCCTCTCGCGTGTCTTACATAAGGAGCAGCCTGGTGTGCTCCTTCGCAGGTGTTAAAGGAGCACTATGTCCCAGCCCGCGGAGCATGTTATGTATCCGGGAGTGCAGGATGGCCTCGGTAAATACGCGTACGGTGAACACAAAAGTACAACAGAGAGCGCGCAGTGACCGATGGATGCAAGGCCCGTCGTCACCGTTTGGTTTGGTCATGTGTTTTACGCGCTTGTGGCCCACTTACCTCGTTGTTGTTCCTCCTCCGAGTGCAAATAAAAATCCACGGGGCGAGCTCTGGGCCTCGGATGTCACGCGGTTTAGAGTAAAATTCCCATGTAAACTGCAGCGTAGACTCTGCGTAAAGACAGCCAGTTAGCTCCCCCTGCTAACAAGCTTAACTTCAAATGTTTTACTTTTATCCGCTGTTACTTCGCCGTGAGGTATTAAAGCAGACAGTAGGCAAGGTCCGTGTCATTAATCCACACGTGTCGCTTCAGAAACAACCCCAAAAGTTGCAGGTTAGCACGGTGGCTAGCGATTTACCGTCAGCTTATGTTGACAAACAAGCCTGCGTGTTTCGGAGCACACACACGACTTGTGGCTAAGCTAGCGCCAGGTTGCTGCTTCTGCTAGCACGGTTAGCTTCGCAGGCTAAAGCAGCTCGCAAAATCCAAACCTTGCTTTTAAAATCCTCCGTGGCCTCGTCCCACGTACATCCCAGCGGTCGACGCGTGCCTTTAGAAACTCCAACAATCACTTATGTTTGGTTTTGCGCTCTTAATAATGATGCACTCGTGTTTTCAAAGCCAAGTTATCGCTTTGGTCTCTGCTCTCCGCCATTTCCAATCTCTCAACACAAACAAACAGCGCTGCTCGTGCACACCGCGGGAGGCGCGTTCACGAGGGGGCAGAGGGCTCCGGATCCAGATCCACTGAGATCCAACACTGAGAATACCACCAGATCACTGTGACCACACGTCCTTATTTACCCGGGACAGTCCCAGTTTTGAGCCCTGTGTCCCCTGTCTTAGCAGATTTATCCAGAAAATACTGATTTGCCCCAGTTTCATACAAAAAATGCCCCAGGTGTCCCTATTTTTGACCAAACTGATCCCTGCCAACAGTAAAGAGAGGCATAAATAGTCATTGATTTAGTTAAAATATAGAAAAGCTGCTTAAAAATGACCAAAACACAAAGAAAATGTGACTATAGTGACTCATATTAGTGCCAGGTGCAGAAATATTTTCCTTAATTACGCACTCATTTCACAATTTTATTATTACCAACCAACCCAAACCAGGTATGTCTCAATTTTTTATTTTGAAAATCTGGTCACCCTACACCAGATCCCACTAGAGACATTTAGATCAAACAATGTGCCACGATCACGAGTGTAATTAACGACTATCCGGATTTACTGGAGGGGGAGTGGCCTTTGATATGGGTTTTCACGCAACAAAACACGTATAACATCTTAAATTTCCACGTCCTTTACATTCCAAGGTTATTTAATATTAAAAAGAATTCCAATGAACTCGTACACATTAATAACCTAATACAAAACACTAGTGGTATAGTTGAAAATGACAGACACTCACAATTACAAAATTCACAATCAGGTCAATGTGCGTATAAGTGAATAGATTTTATGACTGTGTATATGATAAGGGTTGCTCACTGCTCTTTGACACGGTGTAGTAAAGACATTAGAGCTGACATTCCGGTTGGCTTCAAAGTGAATCATCAGTGTGACTCATCATAAGCTACAATGCACCACGTGATAAGTGCATGTGCTGGATCTCTACATAGGAACAGGCGTCATTATCAGTTCACCCTCACAATTATACACACGCGCTATCCTAAAGTGAACCAGTGTTTTGGAGACCGGTTTGAACTCTGACAACATGAGACTTATACAGCACCTCTCTGCCCTCTACTGTCTAAACTAAAAATAAAACTGCAACCATTTCTTCTTGTATTGATACTGCACTAGAATAGTCATCCCCGTACATGTTTATGCTTACTTTAAAATATTTGAGGTTTATTTATTTATTTAAATAATTTGAGACTATAACAAAAATGCTTACCCCCTCCCTATAAAGATAAAAATATACTGAATGTTTCTGTCAGTGTGTTGCATGGTATACAGAATCTCTTATGAAGTAAATAGTTTGATGAATCATTGCTTGTCTTTTGTAATAAGTTGTAATGGATTTATTCTTTTTTTTTTTTTTTTTTTTTGCACATTGGCCTGAGTTGGTGTGACTCATAAAAGGAACCTATTAAAAGATACAGTGAGTGAGAAGATGTTAAATAATTAAAATGTGCTACAGTGAAGCCAAAGAATGTTCTCCACCAGTTTCAATTGCAACTACAATTTACTGCTGTACTCCCAGGAAAGTCACACAGTAGATTTCACCAGTCTTAAGGGCACAAAACTGGCCTGAGGTATGTGCAAAGTTGGGAAAGTGTATTGCTCAAAGTCATAAGGATTATGTCAGGAAATGCCAAAGTCTGAAGGAACAAAACGCAAAACGCTTGCATTGTTTTCTTTAGTCATTTACAGTCACAATCTTACATGTGTACAACAATGTCATAAGCTTTAAATAACAATGCAAACTGTGTGCATTCTTCCAAGAACATGCACTAGAGCTTAAGTAAGATAATATGCTTTGTCCAGTCTTTCAGATGGTTTGGTTACTGTTACTGGCACGTTTTCATTGTCCCTTCATTCAAGGTCCCATTCACTTATTTGAACAGTTTGAACTTTTTCAGCAGTGGGTGGACAGTGTCTTTGGGATAGGGCTTTAGAGCCAAACAAGTGGGGATGTTCTCCGGCTGCTCGATCCACAGTTTATGCAACACTCCAGCCTGAGTTAGACTCTGGGAGAGTCCGGACAGGGCTACCTCATCTGGAGCCTGGCCAACACAAAACATACACATGTCAGAACACAACTATACAAACACACAAAGACGAGTGCAAGAAGACCTGAGTGATTACATATTTATAAACTTTGTGGCTTGGTGTGGTAATGTATAATTTGCCACATGCATTTACAGTGGTCAACGAATACAAAAAATACATATTGCCAGGCTAGAAAAAAAAAAAAAAAAAAAACTAAATTAAAATATATAATGTATTTGGTTAAGGCGCAGTGTAAGTTTAGCTCTGTGTGTTTTGTAAAAGCTGGAGCCCGCAGGTTGACTGTGCAGACTGACATGGGGCACATGTGACTGGACACCGGGGTCTCACCGCTAGAACCACTTTGTGCATGGAGTCCAGCTCCTGCAGGTAGCGCTGCGTGTCCGGGTCGGTGTAGTGCAGGTGGATGGCCGCAGTAGCCGCATGACAGGCCTGTGTAATGACCGCTCCCAGGGGCCACGACAGAGAATGAACCAGGTCTGATCGGACAACCACGTACTGGACCAGCCGAGCAGGAGCCGCTGCTCCCGGAGCCGCCATTTTCACAGCAGCGTTAACGTCACCCCGCCGCCGTGTGTTTATCTTCCGGTTTAGATGTTTCTGTTTGTCATATCAAAATACCGCCATCTAGCGACCACTTATATTAATGCGTGAATAATGAACATAGTTTCTACTATAGACTGTATAAAGTTTCTACCTAAACCTGCTGGAAAGTCTCAAAATTCTGAAAAAAAAAAAAAAAAAAAAATCAACATAAATTTTTTATTTGTTAAATATCAGTGGCCTGAAGGTTACTCACAGTAGTGAAAACACAAATACAACAGGCAAATCATAAAAGAACAAAAAGATGTTCAATCATTCACTCTGGAATAAGTAGTTCTGCAAGGCCATATACAGTATGATATAATCAGCTAATTAAAGCAACTCCATTATCATTTAATGCATTGGCCTTAAAAGGACCACACAATACAAACTGTAAATGTCACAATAATTCTTTATTAAGCATACACATTATAATATAAATATAAAATATGCTATTTTTGTTTTTAAAATCGGTGAGACATCATTATATCTGTGTTGAGACAGACAACCATACAAACAGTTTGAATATTCTAACAAAATCTGCTGAGACGTCTAACGCAGCTGTAACAAACTTGTTGTGATGGTGTCATCCTAAAAACCAGTCCAATGTGCGGCACCAAGCTGGTCCAAGGTCAGCCCTGGCCCAAAGACGCTGGATGGAGAGAGCACAACAACCTATCGTTTAAATTCTTTAGATATATATTTCTTACTGGAGTCCAACGATGGCATTTAGCAGCATGAGAATGCACCACGCATTGTAATCTAAATCCAAGAGATAGCAAAATCAAAATGGTGTAAAATAAACATTGATAAACATTGATGATCATTGTCACTGTACTAGTCTTCCACAGTGAAACAATCAAAGAGAAACAATCAGGTTTGAAAGTGAGAAAGTCTGAGTCAGTTCAGCTTCACCTCAGTCGACCTGTGTACATTGTACAACTCAGTCTCAACGAGTCCACACACAACTATGTTTCTGCAAATGAGCCAAGCCTGTCGCATTTCAGCCTTGTCAAGACTAAACTGAGTGAGCAGTACAAATAAATGCAGAATAATCTCCCTCTTATTTGGCACACGGCCTCAGACAATATAGGAGAATTACCAACATATATAATACAATAATACAGAAGGAAAAGGTTTGGACCGACACAATTTCAAACACACATCCTGATAAAACCAAGCATACACTGCCCCAATAAGATATGGCAATGCCTGTCAGGTGAGACTTGAACAGACCACTTCTGTTTGCTTAGAAAGTCAATAGGTCAGTAATAAAAATGTATCTAAAACATTACACCTTTTGGCACACAAATATAAAATGAAAATCTTTATACATTCATCATGAGTAAATGATAAGTGATATTTTTTAATTTGGTGATGGTATTTTTGGCGGTTAAAATTGCCACTTAATTTAGATTTGAGGTAGAAACATATGATCAGATCTTCCCATGTCATATGGCACTATGAGAAGTTTGCTTAAATACAATAAATATATTGTTTTGACTTACAGTCTTTGTTAGCTTTGTTTGCTCATTTACTTTATTGCAAAATAAAGTTATTTTTAATCATAATAAATAAAAAGAAACACAATAAAATCCAGATGTACATACTGTATGTATAATAAATATGGCTATAACTCAACATACATAGACTTAATCCAGCATAAAGCTGCGATATAAATAAAATATGAAGCCTCTCATTCACTTGTACACACATGTTAAATGCTTTGTTATACGTGTCCATTGAGTTGCAGAAACACAGTCAAGTTTTCAAGCCTGAGTTGTACCTACATTACATTTAACCTAATGAAAGTACATGACATCAAGTTTTCAATGTTTCCTTCTCTTGTCGACTGAACGCAAAGTGAACTAGTCCCAGACCCCAGACTATGACAATAAATAACAAATAGTTTTAACATTTTTCTCTTTTTATGTGTTTTTTTCCTTTTTTCAATGTTTTTGTTCTTGTTTGGTAGACATGCTGAATCCTCCTGTTTTGCAGGTCTATGGTCAGTCAAAAGGAAAAATACTGAGCAAACCATTCCTGGCGCTGGGCATCTGGGGAGTCCAGGCTGGATGGGTCCTTGCTCTCAGGAGGGCTTTGGTGGGGACAATATCAGAAAATACACAGGTGAAGATAGAAGCAAATTGGCAACATGGTCTCATTATGAACTGGGTCTCACTACATAAATGCAGTCATTTGTTTAAATAATGTTCTCACTATATTATTGTAATGTAGTTAGATAGTAAAAGTACTGGCAGAAGATAGTAAGAATATTATTGGTGCTTATAGCAGTAGAATTGGTTTTGCAATTTTAAAATTTTAAAAATAATTTCCCTTGTGGATCAATAAAGTCTAAGTGTAATACACGGGATGCCTTTCACATGGTGTCCACAAGAGGGCAGCACAGCCTTTAAAACGCAATAATTAATTTATCAGTCTAGGTTTTTATTTTATTACATTTCTGTTTCACATTTCGCTCTAGGACATAAGAGCCTTATTTGAGTTTAAATATTACTGGAGAATCAACTGGATTTAGATATATTAAGTATTTAACCAACAGAAAAGTTTTTCTTTTCTCCAGTGAAAAAGTGTTGAAGTGTCATCTTCAACCTGTTGAAATAAGCGTTAACCAGAGTAAATTTAAGACTAAGTCTATATTAAGTAAATTCAAGTCCAACTCTCTGAAAATGCAAATAGTGCACTCTATGTTGGTAATTTCAGTGGATTTAATTCTAATAGAAGACATTATAAATCATATTTGTTGTAGGTGTTTCAGGGAGCTTGTAACTGTTGATGAGCAGCAGCAGCAGAGCATGCAGCAGCCCAATGGATGTCACCACAACATGCGGAGCACAGCCACAGACCCCAGTGTTCAGAATGAGCAGCTTTTATTGGACAGACCACCAGCACACAGAGGCCATCGGCAAAAGACAATATCAGCTTCATCTTCAACTCAGATCAGAAAACATAAGGTTCAGTTTGGAGTCGAGGAGAAGAGGTGCAACATGCTGAGATTACATGAGATGACAGGTGGAGATGTAACAAATATGAGCAATGCATAAATATGAACAATGTATAAAAACACATAAAAAATATAATAATAAAGACATGCACATAAACAAACACACAGTGTAGACAGGACACTTTGCATTCCAAAGCCATTCTCTGAAGCCTCACAGTGTGGGACAGTTACAGGCCTGTCTGAAAGTCTTTTTGTGTTGTGTGCTAAAGTCAGGATGCCATCATCTGCCATTCCAGCACATGAAGCCACTCGCAGGCTTGTAGGCTCTTGATTCACACGGAGTGGACGCAGCACTGCTAATGATTACATGCTGCTAATGGACATGACCCAGCCACCAAAAATAACACTTTTGGCATAGAAGTCTTACATACAAATGTAAACAGGACTATAGAAAGTGCACTATACTTACTGAGGACTAAATTTTCATTTTATTAAAATAGAAATGTATATCAATATAGGCTTAAATACTGTATTTGGGTCTGCATATTGAATATTAACCCAAAACAGGCTTGTGTAGCTTCTTAAAAGTCCAAACTTAAATTAAAGTAGACATGTAAATGTCTTGAAATATGGCCTCTTTCTTGTCTGGGCTAATGGCAGCTACTTAACAGGGATAATAGTAAACAGTCCAGACAATTCACTAAAACAGTCATGCAACTTTCAGTAAGAACGCTTTACTTTAGTTTCTTTAGAGACTGCTACATACAGGAAGTGCGTTTCCGTTTTCAAACAAAATGTTATCATTTAACATAATAAAAATCCACCACTTGACTCAGTCAAGTGTATTTTTTTTCTATTGTTTTTGACAAATGGGTAACTTTTTAAAAAAGCTCACTATAGGGTGTTCTTTATAATTGTGCAAAAAACAGACCCTGGGGTCACTGTCTATACTTTGGCTCCCGGGTCAGTGCTCAGTCTGAGCCTGTCACTCTCACCTCATGAACTTCTTGGTTTCGGTGGGAGGGGTCGGCGGGGGCAGAGGTTTGTTGGAGTTGAGCTCTAGGTGATGCAGGGGGGAGTTGGGAAGGGGGTCTAGGCGGCCGCTGGGGGCTTGAGGTGGAGCAGGATGTGGGAGGGGCCCACTTCCTGTACCAGCCACGCCCAAACCGGCAGCCTCCAGCCCCCTGACATTAGAAGAGCTGCTCAACCTGGTGGTGGAGGATTTCTCATTCTTTCGCTTTTGCTACACAGAAAACAAAGAAAGGAGTGGCACTGGGGTCAACGCGGAGCAGGAGGGAGGACGGCAACAAAACAAGAACAATGTACAAACGCAATGTAAACAAGAGCAACCAAGTCTCCAAAGAAATCATATTTACTGCTTCAATGGTGAAGTCAAGAAAATGTATGCACTATAGTTAACCCAAAGTTATGACGCTATAATAGGCCATTAAAACCTATTGCAATTACTATACTAAATAGTATATCAAGTACTGAGACAGAGAAGTGCTTCCATAGTGGACTTCAGGGGTTCAGACTGAGCAGGTTGAATTTAAAACAAGCAGAACAACACATATCTCTGTAACTCTGAAATGTCAGCATTCATTTTATATAGGAGACTGGGTTGAACCAAACATATGGAGGAGGAAGGGAAAAATAAAGACAGATGAAGTTAAGGTACAGCAGTAGGAAACAAGACATGAGATTTATTCAAATGTGGCCAGAAGCAGAATGAATGAGTAAATCCAGAGTTATCTCTCAGTCCTTGAACGCACCACCAGTCGCTGGGAGCTGATCAGTTCAAATGAGGAGAGATGGTTTGGAAAGCAAAGGGCTGAACATAGTAAACAAACCCTGATGAATTCAATCATAAGGATGTAGTGCACAGTGTATAGCAGACAGACACTCTGGGATGGACAAAATGAAATGAGTGACAACTTGTCCACACTCCAAATTTGTAATGAGTTTTGTATCAAATCAATGTAAAAAGAAAAGCAAGTTTGTTCAAGTCCAAT